ACCAGCTCTAGGTACAAAACAAAAGAAATATGGTGCTTATTTGATTCTAGTTAACATCCTAGGCCCCTGTGAATTTTAAGATCACATGGCATTTCAAAAAAATTCCCAATTTGAAAGGCTTATTGCTTTTTACAAACACCTGGCATTCGAAGAACATTTGGTTTAAAAAATTTGTTTCAAAAGTCATATTTCAGTGTTTCAAAAGTCAAATTCGATGGTTTATTATTCAAATCTTATTACGTCTGTCCGTCCGTCTGGGCAATAACTCAAATACCGTTGGCCCGATTTTGTTCTTATTTTGTACACATATACCCTATGGGGGTAGAATTCTGCTTAAAAGCCGATTTTCAAAATGGCTGCTCATTTAAAAATGGCGGCAATTTTAGTGCCAATTTTACAGTAATCTAGGTGCAATATGTAAAACTGTAATAGCAATATGTTTCAAATGTAAAAAAGAAACGTAGTGGAGCGATTTTGTTCATATTTGGTATGCAGGGTTCGAACTTAACTTTTTAGACTGGTAGTGTATGTGGATACTATAAGCATTACACACTGTCTAATGACACTTTGGGTAGTAGGCGACCATTTTGAAAAATGGCAACCATTTTTACTTTTTTAACTATAACTTGAAAAGTAGTGGAGCGATTTTGTTCATATTTGGTATGTGAATACTATAAGCATGGCACACTGTCTAATAACACTTTTGGTGGAGGAGACCATTTTGAAAAATGGCGACCAATTTTACATTTTTTACTATAACTCAAAAAGTAGTAGAGCGATTTTGTTCATATTTTTATATGTGAATACTATAAGCATGGCACACTGTCTAATAACACTTTGGGTAGTAGGCGACCATTTTGAAAAATGGTGACCATTTTTACTTTTATAACTATAAATTGAAAAGTAGTGGAGCAATTTTGTTCATATTTGGTATGTGAATACTATAAGCATGGCACACTGTCTAATGACACTTTGGGTAGTAGGCGACCATTTTGAAAAATGGCGACCATTTTTACTTTTATAACTATAAATTGAAAAGTAGTGGAGCGATTTTGTTCATATTTCGTATGTGAATACTATAAGCATGGCACACTGTCTAATGACACTTTGGGTAGTAGGCAACCATTTTGAAAAATGGCGACCATTTTTACTTTTATAACTATAAATTGAAAAGTAGTGGAGCGATTTTGTTCATATTTGGTATGTGAATACTATAAGCATGGCTCACTGTCTAATGACACTTTGGGTAGTAGGCGCCCATTTTGAAAAATGGCGACCATTTTTACATTTTTTACTATAATTCAAAAAGTAGTAGAGCGATTTTGTTCATATTTTATTTGTGAATACTATAAGCATGGCACACTGTCTAATGACACTTTGGGTAGTAGGCGACCATTTTGAAAAATGGCGACCATTTTTACTTTTATAACTATAAATTGAAAAGTAGTGGAGCGATTTTGTTCATATTTGGTATGTGAATACTATAAGCATGGCACACTGTCTAATGACACTTTGGGTAGTAGGCGACCGTTTTGAAAAATGGCGACCATTTTTACATTTTTTACTGTAACTCAAAAAGTAGTAGAGCGATTTTGTTCATATTTTATTTGTGAATACTATAAGCATGGCACACTGTCTAATGACACTTTGGGTAGTAGGCGACCATTTTGAAAAATGGCGACCATTTTTACTTTTATAACTATAAATTGAAAAGTAGTGGAGCGATTTTGTTCATATTTGGTATGTGAATACTATAAGCATGGCACACTGTCTAATGACACTTTGGGTAGTAGGCGACCGTTTTGAAAAATGGCGACCATTTTTACATTTTTTACTGTAACTCAAAAAGTAGTTGAGCGATTTTGTTTATATTTTTATATGTGAATACTATAAGCATGGCACACTGTCTAATGACACTTTGGGTAATAGGCGACCATTTTGAAAAATGGCGACCATTTTTACTTTTATAACTATAAATTGAGAAGTAGTGGAGCGATTTTGTTCATATTTGGTATGTGAATACTATAAGCATGGCACACTGTCGAATAACACTTTTGGTGGAGGCGACCATTTTGAAAAATGGCGACCATTTTTACATTTTTTACTATAACTCAAAATGTAGTAGAGCGATTTTGTTCATATCTTATATGTGAATACTTTAAGCATGGCACACTGTCTAATGACACTTTGGGTAGTAGGCGACCATTTTGAAAAATGGTGACCATTTTTACTTTTATAACTATAAATTGAAAAGTAGTGGAGCGATTTTGTTCATATTTGGTATGTGAATACTATAAGCATGGCACACTGTCTAATGACACTTTGGGTAGTAGGCGACCATTTTGAAAAATGGCGACCATTTTTACTTTTATAACTATAAATTGAAAAGTAGTGGAGCGATTTTGTTCATATTTGGTATGTGAATACTATAAGCATGGCACACTGTCTAATGACACTTTGGGTAGTAGGCGACCGTTTTGAAAAATGGCGACCATTTTTACATTTTTTACTGTAACTCAAAAAGAAGTAGAGCGATTTTGTTCATATTTTTATATGTGAATACTATAAGCATGGCACACTGTCTAATGACACTTTGGGTAGTAGGCGACCATTTTGAAAAATGGCGACCATTTTTACTTTTATAACTATAAATTGAGAAGTAGTGGAGCGATTTTGTTCATATTTGGTATGTGAATACTATAAGCATGCAGGCGCGTATCGTCATGTACGCAAAATACGCCCAGGCGTACTGTTTGAATTTGAAAAAATATTTTGAAAAAATATTTTGAAAAAACATGAAATTCAGTATTTTACTGTTATTTTCTTTGATGATGTGTAAACCTTTGTCGTACAAGTGTATTAACAATAGGTTCTCGATTCCCTCATTGCCATTCACTGTTTTCGTGATTCAAAGATTCAAATTTTTTCGTGATTCAAAGAGTTGCGTCATTCTTGTACGTTCGTGCTGCCATCTTTATATCGACCCAGAACCTATGGTAGGTCTGCACGAAAAATCATATGCCAAAATTCGCATTCATCTTCACACATTATTCATCCACATACGGGGGCGTACCCTTGCAAAATGACCACGATACGCGCCTGGCATGGCACACTGTCGAATAACACTTTTGGTGGAGGCGACCATTTTGAAAAATGGCGACCATTTTTACATTTTTTACTATAACTCAAAATGTAGTAGAGCGATTTTGTTCATATTTTATATGTGAATACTTTTAGCATGGCACACTGTCTAATGACACTTTGGGTAGTAGGCGACCATTTTGAAAAATGGTGACCATTTTTACTTTTATAACTATAAATTGAAAAGTAGTGGAGCGATTTTGTTCATATTTGGTATGTGAATACTATAAGCATGGCACACTGTCTAATGACACTTTGGGTAGTAGGCGACCATTCTGAAAAATGGCGACCATTTTTACTTTCATAACTATAAATTGAAAAGAAGTGGAGCGATTTTGTTCATATTTGGTATGTAAATACTATAAGCATGGCACACTGTCTAATGACACTTTGGGTAGTAGGCGACCGTTTTGAAAAATTGCGACCATTTTTACATTTTTTACTATAACTCAAAAAGTAGTAGAGCGATTTTGTTCATATTTTATATGTGAATACTTTAAGCATGGCGCACTTTCTAATGACACTTTGGGTAGTAGACGACCATTTTGAAAAATGGCGACCATTTTTACTTTTTTAACTTTAAATTGAAAAGTAGTGGAGCGATTTTGTTCATATTTGGTAAATGAATCTTATTTGCTTATTTCAGGATGTATGACATGGGTAATCAGCATGTCAAAAACATATAGATAGAATATGGTGGAATAACAGCAGGGAATAGATGGAAAAACAGATTGCATGTGGAATTGCCGCAATACTTCACCTGTATTTATCGTGAAAAACAACTTTTATTTAATTCACTGGAAGGAGCTGTTGACAGATGAACAATTAGGATGATAAATGATATGAGATGGCTTGAGAAATGACAACATTACATCACCAGGATTTATATACATATATATTAGCTGATTAAAAAATAAAAAGACATATACAACAATAGGCATAATATATGATACAAGATGGCGCACAAGGATTTATGTACATACTACAAATCATATTCATAGATACTTAAATGATACCAGATGGAATGATGATGTGTGACAGTTGTGATTCTTATAGACCATGATATGAGTCAAGTGTGGAGATGCCCCCTCCCCCACACACAAACAATAGCATTATGAATCAAGTGTGTACATGCCACCCCTCCCAATAGACTTTAGCAACATTTCAAAGATTAAAGACTGATGTTGATATAATTCAGTACAATGATGAAAAATGGAAATTTTTTGCAAGGGTTATATAGTATGGTAATTACATAGAGATGTGTGATGGCTTGATAGCATATACTTTGATCAGCATTAGTCAAGTTCTGAAATCACTTTATCCCGCAGCAAATTTTTTTACCCAGCGCCGGGACATGTCAGTTCTCAATCAATTATATCCCGACGTTTGCAAAAAAAAAATTACGGGACAGTGAGTTTGAGAAACTGACTGTCCCGAGGCTCAGTGCTACAAAGTGCTCATACGGGATAAAGGTGTTTGCAATTGCGACTATCCCGCGAGCCCTATAAAATTACGTGACAGTGTATCTGTGATTCATTATATCCCGCTCTGTGAAAAACATTTGTCGGGCTCGGGACTAATAATCAGATCTTAAAAATAACTATTTGACTTCTTTTACGTCATTCAACAAGATTGTTTTGTCAAGTAGGAATAAAATCATTGACAATCAATTTTGAAAAAATGGCATTTTAAGGTCATAAATACCTTACTTTTTTCCAGCATAATTGTCTTTGATAAAATTACCAAACACCCTTTTGGTAACTAGGTCTAGGTAATTAGAGGTAGCATGCGCTATAAAGTCATTGAAATCTAAAATTTATATCAACAGATTTTTTATTATAGTATAACTAAAACACTACCTCGGCATGTGCTCCTAACAGCAGTCCAATGAAGAGGTATAGATACTTGAATGCTGAACCGTTCATTGTTATTCTCCTAAAGTTCCGACTCACTGTGCCCTGTTGAAATATGGCTGTATATGGATGTGTGCAGGGAAGTCAATGCACGTTCTTGAAATTACCGAGAAAGGATCAATCAAACAATATCCTGTGGATGATAAAAATGAAGAAATATTGTTAAGACTAATTAAATTGAATTTAAAGTTAGCCAAGCAAGACAATATAATTGTTTCCGTTTTAAGATGAACATAAATTTAATTTCCCTTACTTTATGAATGCATATACGGTACATATTTTTATGTATATGGTTATAATATTCTAAATATTATCTTACAACGAGTTATCTGCGAAAAAAGTATAATTATACTAGTAAATCGTCGTTTATATGTAAGAATATCACACTTGTTAGGACATATTGAGCTGCGCAATAAATGATGACGTAATCAAAAGCAATACGGGAAAAATAAACATGCTATAACAAAGTGAGTTGCGAAATCTCTCAAGTATTACTAACTTTTGATTGAATACTTTTGGAGCGAGATCCAACTGCACTCACTCGGATAGAACGTTTAAAGGCACTGGATAATGATTTCGTATCACAATAATTACATTAAGTAAGTGACGTCACAGCAGTGACTTTTTTCTATCATTTTCCAATTAACATTCTTTGATGCTTGGGGAAATTAAGCCTATTAATAGTAGATTTATTATATTTTTATTCTTAATTTAATATATACTTACTTTATTATTTCTAATTGATTGTTGTGTTATTAGATATAAACTGAGATGTTAACGTATATTCATAGAATACCATTAAATGAGTTATCATAATTGTGAAACATTCTATCGATGTTTTGTAGCATTTCTAGTGATAAAAAATTTTCAACTTTTATTTAAAGTGGCGGGGAATTTGAATATTTGAAAAATAAAAATCTGACAACTTTTTTCGCCTTAATTATTTTTTCAAAAATCCCTTATAACTTTTAAAGTCAGTAAATGAATGACAAAAACATTTCAAACATCAGATGGGACCTTTAAAATATACAACTTTTCGAGGATATGTATCTAAACAATATGGAAAACTTCAAACCTGCATGGTTGGAAATGGTGATAAAAAATTGGCTATTCGTTTATTTATGGTCCAAACTATACAGGACCTTGCAACAATAAAATCTGATATCGTTTATTTTATACCAACGTAACCCAGACTCATTTTGATATAAATCATGAAATCATGAATTCAATTGTGTACTTTTAAGGACAGTCCGGTTCATGAACATCTATATTATATTACAACCAATGAGCTAAATACATGCGCTATGGCAATTAAGAAATGATATATTGCTTGTAAACACACAATGAGCAGCAAATAAACAATAAAATTGCAGTGTTCTTGAGATGTTTATCCTGTATTTTATCAGATGAAACCAGATTCGTGCTTTGATGCGTGTTAAGATGAAAGAACTCAGAAATGTCGTGGACAGTCCTGAAGTTAAAGAAGTCGTTTATGGCAATTTTGATATTCCTTATAGCAATGTATATGTTCAAGGTAAGACATGTTGCTCATACTATATGGTAATTAAATATTCAAAGGGATGTAACATCTGACCCATAATTATTCATCACTTTGTTTCACATCGATATGAATAGTTCTTATATCAATTATACTTTTTGCAAAATAAAAATGGGTTCAGCATTTAAAAACTATTTTTTGAATATTTCATTTATACAGGGTGTCAAATAAGTCCCGTCCCCCCCTCTACAGCCAAAACCAACATATTTGGTACCAAGTGTGATATATCATTGAAAAGGTCTTCCAAAGTTACGTTGATTGGCATATATCTGACACATGTCAATCAATCTCATAAATTTTTACATTGTATCAATGGAGTTGACCATATGCCTAGAAACATGGCAATTTGGCGTATTTTGCAGGATTTTAAGAATCCGGTATAAGAAAGCTCAAGGGACCAAAAGATGACTAAATATGTTTATGGCGATGAATTTAACCAATTTCTGGATAGGGTTAGATGTGTAGAAAATAGAGGTGCAAGGAAAGTGGTGAAAACATTTTTGTAACAAGTGGAATGCGAAAAAGATTAACTTTTTGACGTATTTCTGAGGTCATATCCTTGTCATTTTGACCCAAAAAAGCTAGTTAAAGGAGGGCACGTTAACTATAAAAGACATCATAAAAAAATAGGTAAATTCCATCCAAAATACTTGAGAATTGGTGAGTTAACATAACTTTGGATGATCTTTCCAATGGTATATCACACTAGGTACCGTCTGTTAAGGTTTTAGCCATGTAGCAGGGGGGACGGGACTTATTTGACACCCTGTAGATGGCGTCACTTCTCAAATCAACTAGAGCGGTCCCTGCTAAATCTTCAAAAACAGAGAACAAGGACATTGTTAAACCAGGGGAAAGAAATTCCTACATACCAAAGCCAACAAACCTTCAAACCATATGCAACAAGTCCAGTGTGGCGTTACGTACTAAGCTTACTAAGTATATGTTAATAGACGAAACCCATAAATTGCTCTACTGCTTTGTGCCAAAGGTTGGCTGTACAGCTTGGAGAAAAATATTTGCAGTACTATCAAATGAAAAAATTAGAAACGAAACAAATGGCAATCCTGAAAACATCAGAGTAGATCCTCATTTTGGTTTGCATTTCAAATCTATAAAGAGCTATGATAGGTCTCAGCAGGATCGTATTCTTAAATCATATTACAAATTCATGTTCGTGAGGGAACCGTTTGAGAGATTAGTATCTGCCTATATTGATAAATTCTATGTCCCCGAACCTCATGGATTCTGGAAGGTTTGGGGTAAAGGAATCATTAATAAATATCGACACAAGGCAAGTGTGACGTCACGAGAATGTGGGCATGACGTAACGTTCGATGAGTTTCTCGCACATTCGTTTTCGACGATTGAACAGCAGTACATAAATGCTGGAAACGGTCATTGGGTGACCATCCAACAGCTTTGCAACCCCTGTGACATCAACTATGACTACATAGGACGCATGGAATCCATGCAGCAAGACACAAAAGCGATACTAGAAAAAGCGAATGTCAGTCACTTAATCAATCAACAAAAACCAAGCGTTAGGAAAATAAAAGAAAACCTCCACTTTAGTACAAGGGGATTGCTACGATCGGCCAGCTGCTTGAGCGTTATAGATGGCATTAGACGCATCATCAATTCACTTATCTTCAAAGGATTTTTACCAGACGATTTTCCGACATCAGAATATACAAAAGGCCTTCTTGTTACCAGCATCAACGTCACTAATATCAAAAGAAAAAATGATCATATGGTAAAAGAATTTATTTCTAAATTAGAAAATATCCTACCAGCTGTGTGGGAAAACAAACTCAAATTTCAAACTCCAGCGGTAGAATCTCGAAGAGAGCATTGCCTTACAAGGCTGCAAAAATCAAATATTATGAATCATATAAGTCCCCAAAAGATTAAACAATTTTTGGAATATTTTTCTTTTGATTTCGAAGCGTTTGGATACGACTCGTCTTTCTATTCGGACTACATTTTGAAGGAGCACGAGGAGTGATCCAAAACTTTAAAAGTTCCAGACATTGTTCGTTTGCTCCCGTTAATATTATTTCTTGGTTGTTTGGTTAGGCTTAATAAGTCTTACTTCTTTGTGAAATTTATTTTGGTGTACACGGATATTCGAGTTATGGTTTAATATGTGATAAGTGTTGAAGAGGTTAGGTATTATATATGCGTTAAACAAATACTCCATAGGCCTACTCAACTAGGATTCTCCTGCATAAAATATAACAATTTACCCCAGAAAATGCCCCCCCCCCCAGTTAAGTTTTTATTCTAAAAATTGTTATGGGCATGAGATACTCTCAGGAGTTAAAGATGTAAAAACGTAAGAATTGCACAAATGGTAATTAATTTATTACACAATATACACAAATTCGGAAATGCAACTATCACTAATTATACTGTACTGGTAACTACGTGTACTGTCTTAGAATAAAATCACACAATCTTACATATCATCATCGTTGTTAAAGTTAATACACCATAATAGTAGATACTTGAATGAAGTACATTTGGGGAAAGTTTGAACATCCTTGCTTTACTAATAATGATTTTATAAGGTGGGGAGGGGGACCCCCTAGGCACGTTACGAGTGACTTTTGTTACCTTAGTCCCCTAGAGTTAAGTTAGCCTCGAAATGGTGGTCGTCTGTGATTAAAAGAGTTGTACATAAAAAATCGATTAAATTCTAGTGATCAATAAATTACTTATAAACTATCCGAGTTGCATAGTAACAAAATAGTAGGGGCAGAAAAAAACAATTTATTTCCATGTACAGTAACCAATGGATATTAGAGACGCTGAATACCGTCCACAAAAAGGTTTTGAGACTACAATATGTCAAAACCTGTGGTGGTGACATAAAAGTCATGTATGTTTTTCTACAAATGTATGCTTTTTTACAGTATAGGGACATTTTTGAATTGTCATTGATTGATTTTCCTCCCCGGAAAAATGAGGAAGTGTTATATGAGGATAGTTTTGAATTTTTTAGGGAGGACATAAAACGACCCTTGCAACTGACTGTTACATGTGTACAGCGGGTAAAATGATTTGTACGAAGAATTTCGAAAAAGACGTGGATCTACATAAAAAATAAGATTGTGTATATTTTTCTCTCGAAAATTGCAATTCTGGGAGGTTCGAGCCTCTGGGTCACCTTGTAGACAATATGAACTTTCTTTTTGATGCGTATTTAAAAAACGGCAAAGAATTATATCCTTATTAGATCATATATCTCAATCTGTCATCAAAAATATTTTCTACCTAAAATAACATCACAAATATGGCGGGACATGGATCTCATTGATCAAAAAATTAAATGGTGATAATTATACGAAGTTTGATAGTTTATTACATCATTACCTTATAAGTAACAAACGAAATTTTATCGAGTATATGAAATGTTATTTATTGTTGTCATTATCAATATGAGATAATAGATTAACTTAACGTTTGCATTGCTAATAAAATAAATATAAATAATGTATCAGTGTCCAATAAGGGACGTCTGTCTCTCGGCCAGCTCGAGCTTCTGTTCGCAGTGGTCATATAAGATGACCCCGATTCATTTTTATCATGTACAACCTAAGAAACATCACTTTTGGTGAGAATGATCTTGAACATGATGAATTGTGAAATGTTGAAGTGGCCGATTCATTTAAATATTCAAATATTTGAATGAGTCTTTGAAGCCTATAATATATTGCAGGCCTTCGTAAGCATGAAGGTCTTTTCACTGTCCACATCGAGGAATAACGAATTATTCAGTCAAAAGAGTGTAGCCAATATGTATGTACATGGAGTGTGGATTGCTTTGTACAGAGAAAGGTCGATACCCTCATTATTCGCAGCATCCTTTAGTACATGTGCATACGCCATCCGCATCGAAGCAAGTATCTCTGCATTCACAGTCTTTGCCTGCAAATACACGGGAAGATATGACGAAGATATAACAATCGTTGTCATGGAGAGGGGGGGGGGCAGTATAGTGTCAAATCAAATGCCTAAATACAAAACTCAGAAGTATTTTTGGGCGTGTTGATGTTCAGTATTAAATTCTGCCCTTGACTTGTTATTTTGAAATCACATAATAAATCAATCAATTTACCTATCAAAGATATGAGACGATAACAATTTGTAACCCTTCTGGTGGTGATGTAAAAACAGAATGACGTAAAGTAAGGAATACCGTCAAATGCAATCGACCTTACAGTCGAGGCTTGGAAGTATTGACGACGTTGAAGATTGAGCTTGTATTCGCGAATGCAACTAACGCCTGTCGGCTACCGGATTAATTTACTATTTAATGACCAACTCATATAAATACGAATATATAGTACATGCCGCTATTTCATTCATATTCAAATGAGTTGGTCATGAAAAACTAGGTTAAGCCGGTAGCCGATAGGCCTTAGTTGCATGCGCGATAGTCTAATGTCAATTATCAAATATAAATCAACCTCATTTATACTTACATTTTTCACAGGGGCAGCCATCACCAGCCATTTGTCCGGTTCGGGGAGTGCTATCTGAAACACACAATAAGTCTTAAGATTAGGTCATTGTGTAGTAACCTCGCAATAAATATTTTATGTAACTTTACAAGCATTCCTACATGTACGTGTCTCATTTCAAGTTAACCATTTGTGAAATATCTTGGCAGAATCATAATACGTATTTAATGGGCAATTTACACGGACCAGCTCGGCATCGAGAATATGAAAAGGTTAAGATGTCAAAGAACTGTCGTTCGATTTCGCCAAAAACGACAATTTTTCATACTTGTACTCATACAACAGCGTTAAATTTCGCCCCACTTATGTATCCAATTCCAGGCTTTCAAACGAAGCTAAAGTCATAACCCGAAACCGCTGATCGATCTTTGACAATTTATTAATTAATTTTACAAATTTAAAAGCGGTTTAAACATAACATTGCTTTTAAATGTAAATTTTAGGACACGAAATTTTGAATTTAGATAAATAACTCGGTATTTTAATATTAAATAGGCACATTAATGATTTAACAATTGGTTAAATCAATAAACAAACGCCTCCATTTTTGTCCACTGAAATATGATGTTATTAATTGAAAACTTTTAACCTTGATAAACAGCTGATAAGATGATCGTAGCAAATAGTATAGTGTTTACATGCCGAACACTTAGACATTCATAAGGCGTTTGATCGGGTTAACGTTTGCCATTGATTTTTCAACGCTGGTTATAAGCCGTTGGAGTTATGCCAACCCGTAGCTGTTGCACTATTAGGTCCAATATTTTCTTCAATGGAAAAATCTTTTTTGCCCTGCCTGCCATATTAAGTGTTATTGTTAATATAAAAAACAAACAACGGGTTAGTTTTTAACATTTGTTTGATATTTTGCTAGATAATTTTGGCATACATTACGAATGTATCAGTTTTTTACCAATATCAGCAGCATCCAATAGCATACCATATTATTTATTGATTTTTCCGAAATATTGGCCGCTTCATAAAAATATATACAATATCATATTTTACTTAGTCGTTGTGATTTCAAATTGTTATGTGTGAATAAAGGAATCTTAAAGTTGCAATTATTTCCTTTTCATTGAACGTATCATCAATACCAAATTATTCTGTTCATAAATGATCATATATTGACCCGCAAGTCATATCGATCGGCCGCTTGTTATGTTAATACGTTTACTTACCATCTTTGCTGCTTGTAGTACTGCATTTGCATGGTTCAGGCATGATTGTTGTTGTTTTTGTTGTTGGTAATCAACGAGAAGGTTGTATTCGATGTCTTCGAGAATAATCAGCGAATGTGCTTGGTAATTTTCGCACTGACCAATAAATATCCATTTTTGCACACGACTTTTGCAATTTTCAAAACGGCGCTGTTTTGATTTTTGCACACGGCACTGAATTCACACGGCGCTGTATGAATAAATTATCGCGAAGGCTGTAGCAATGAGTAATACAGATAGGCCTACAGGGTGTCCAATTATAATTCTAAACGATGCTACTATATCCATTTGTATGAAATTCAAAGGAAGAATGAGCAAAGCTTGGAGCAAAGTTTACGAATTTCTTTTTTCATCAGCAACGAGCCTGTGATCGTAGTCTTACTCACTAGATGTTTATGCATAGAAATATAATTGTTTACCTCTCGAGAGGACAGCCAGCAAAATTGTATTTAATGTTTATGTTTGAATTTTTACTATCGGCAATGTTGTCTCGTAAAGTCAAAATATCACTTATGTCAATGTTTACAAAACGTCCGTCCTCCATGTTTTTCTGTAAATTTGATAACGTTATATTCCCACAATTCACAAGTGTAGTACAGTAACAAACCCCATAATTGACAAATGTAGTACAGTAACATCCCATAATTCACAAGTGTAGTACAGCCAAACAAAGTATACCGGTAAGGCAAAAAGCGGTCAATAATATAATATCCCATGAGTGCACATATGGGGTACAGGCAAAACTGTTGATCCTACAGTACTTGGGCTATTACTGTGATCATTGATCATATAATTTGTAATACGAATTTTGCATAACAAGTTCTCCCTCTGACCAAGCACTGGTATATGTACTGTCGACCCAGCTATAGTTTAATACGCTTAGTCAAAGAAATACTAAGGGTTTAAATGGAAGAACCGTCAGTGCTACAACCATACATATTCATGTATTGGTTTTTGATAATGGCACGAGCTTAATGTAGCAATCTATATTCTTATGCCAAGGGAATGAAAACGTCTTAATTGACTAGAACACCTCTATACTTTTTGTCACCCTGTAGTATACAGCGTCTTAACCGCGTTACGATAAGCTTCGGAATAGAAAATTTCCATTGTTGGTTATAAAACTTTTGCCAATAATAAACCTTATTCGAGTCTGAATTTAACGGCATGTGATAGATATTTTTGCAATTCAAATAACTCTATGTAACAAACAATTTTAGAATGTTATCAAATCAGCAGATTGTCGAGATAATAACACGTGAAATACACCGTTGGATTTCAAAACACTAAGGGTAACAAGTCGATTAATTAACGTCAGATATACTTAAATTGACGGCCAATGGATTGTAATGATGGGTATCTCATTTTGTATTCTTAAAGCACGAGCATCCCGATTTATTGTGTGATCATTAGCTGAGAATATATTCGTTCAACAAAAACCCAATACCACGGCTTTTATTTATTAATCTGAGTGTTCTTGTTGCCGTGATTGGGTTTAACTTCCGTGCTATGCTTTCATTGGTAGCAAATTCTCACTATCAATTATTAATAAAACGCACATGGAACTCTATGCGCTGCCATAGGCCACCATTAAATTTTTTGCATCAAGGGCCGAATGGGCACACGGGTTTCCATGATAAGTTTGAATAAATCATAATTATTACGCCCTCAAAGAAAACATTTTTGGCGATTATTCGATAAAATCGGTGCCGATTTTCCAGATTGTTCCATTTACCAAGGACCTCTATTCTCGAGGCCCCATGTATTTACTAGTCAGACAACATCGATCCCGAGACAAGCACGGGAGTTCAAGTGAAATGGTCGATTAATGGAAACCGTGAACTTGAATATTGTTATTACTATGAATGAACTAGTTCAGTTCAACGTTTTCAGGTCAAGAGAGTGCATTGAAAGTTCAAATAAGGTGAATTTTTTTTGGTCCCGGGGCCTTTTAAGGCAACTCGGGAGATTAAACTGTCTGATGGACTCCTTACTACAACCTCATTTCCGCAAAATAAAAAATGAATCGAAAAAGAACTAGCGAGGACCAGATGTGACAGTCATCGTCATGTTCTTATTTAATAAATGAGTTAATATACTAATATGAACTTTATAGTTTTTAAGTTAAAATATTTTATATCTGTGTCACAGGTTTAAAAACTACATTCTAATCACATATGATAAAAACTTTTCTAAAAAACCCACCAGCCGGCATCGGCTTAGGGGACACATTAAATGTATATCTGAGTGTAATTGAGTCTTGACTAGAGTAAGTTGACCATTTACTTGGAGCACTCGCAAGGAGAGTAGTATTCAAGTGCTGCCATCTTTAAATGCTTTGACAAATATTTTGCTATTTATGGCCATTATCACAATAAATGAATATGTATGCAAACATAAATAAACTGTATTGATACAATAATTTTGCAGTTGAGTGCTGGAAAATGTTTATAACAGATTGGGGACACACACTCTGTTGCCCAGTTATATCATTAATTCAAAAAATGTATCATATGGGAAAGAAAGGTATCAGTAGTAACCAAGCCTGGACTTCACAAATGTAACTCCCATAATCTGCCATAGTCAAATTATGTGTAAGTATCCACTCGGAAAGCTTCAGAAGCATGCGCATTGTTGCGCTTCGGTTCGCATATTTACGTTCCCATCAAATTCGCAAGACTACGCTTATTGGATTCGTTCATATGTGAGGGGGGCTTAAGGCATGACTTGCAGACGTAGCAATTTCCTTTGCCGTTATTAGGGAGTTGACCAAGTGACAATATTACAAAATGCAAATGGTCAAAATTGACACTGCACTCAGCTACATGGTTCGTATGAAAAGCGATGTATTTATAATTCATTGCTAAGATGAGTCACGGTGTAAAAAGTAGGTGGTCCTATCTTTTGGTTCTACTCTCTATTGCTTTATGTGGTGACCTAATTACAATTATTTTCTTTATTATTTATACACAGTTAGGGCCAGTAAGGGCCGTAAGGAAAGGGACCATAATCCAGGGGACCATCATTTCTTTTACACCTGAAGCTGAGTTAGATCAGACGATTTGAAAGAGGAATTTTTCTATTCCGCTGTATAGAACCTGATATGAACAATACGCACTATACTCACAGACTGCTCCTAGTAATAGAGTCCTTTCCATATAGCTTTCAAATTGATAATCTCGTTTTTATTTAGATGCAGTTTAAACCATTCAAGACCAACAGTTTCTTCCATTTGATGGCATATTTGAATTCTGTGTGTAATTTTTCATCAATACAACTTTGGTTTGTACATATATTTATCTTTATTACATTTCTAAAAATTTTCAAATTTTCTGAAAAGGTCGGGTCAAATCCCCATTGACACAATGTTGAAAAACCTATATAGTTTTAAACGGATCTCAATTCTATTGTGAAAAATCACATTCCACGACAAAAAGATCATATAATTAGAATCCAATGGTATTTTAAGGTGATCCAAATGGAACTCATGTTATAGGCGGCCATGTTATCTCGCCCATTCAACACCCTATCAATTTCCACTTGTATATGGAAAAGGGTCAATTTGGTTTTCGGCGGATTTGTTCTTAATACACAACTTTTGTTCAAGCTTCGCTTCAGCTCTTTAATCACTTGGTTCTCATTTCATAAGACAATGGAATCTGAATTTTAAATAATTAAGAGAGACAGCGATACATGGAAAACGTATCAATTATTCAATAATCCTCACAGGATTTTTACAAGACCAACATCAAAAGAAAAAAATATCATATCGTATAATCAATTTCTAAACTTGAAAATATCCTACCAGCCGTATAGGAAAATTAACTCATATTTCAAACCTCAGTGCCAGAATATGTTTCTTTGAAGCATTTGGATACGACCCTCCGGATCCATTCCAAATAACAGCATCGTGAACGACAACGAGCTGATACGAAATTTCTATACCTTTGCTCTCTTAAATACAGTAAAACCTGCGTACAGGGAATGCTCTTGGGACTGGAGGAAAGTTTCCTTGTTCAGAGGGTTTCCCTATAAAGAGGGGCCGCACTTTTAGCAAACTCAGAATTGCCGAATAAGCATTTTTGTATATATGTGGGCATTAATTGATTTTATCAACGCCAACTCCAATGCAACTTGGTTGCTAGACCTTGTTGTGACATCTTGGAAGATGTATGAAGGTCTCCCACCTCCCTCCTTTAGCTGAGGGTAAGGAGCATTCTCCCGATGTTGATTTTAGCCGCAGCTGCTGGCGTATGATGATGTCTAGTTGTTGTAATTATTGATAGATTTGGCTCAACATGACACATGTACTAATCTGTTATCTCCATAAAACAATTGTGTCAATCCCTAGATTATCACAACTGATTAGATGTAATTTGGTTTGTTGAAAGGAAGAATTAGTGTTATGATAATAAGTAACAGATTAGTATTAGTTTTAAAATATATCAGGGTAATTAACAGTGGGTGGGATGCTTCACCGTGTAAACAATTGGCTTATCTTAATCTCAATCATATAAATCCAAGCTTTTTAGAATCAGAAATTGGCTTAAGACTTTCACACCTCTGAAAAATAATGGAATATACAGTGTCACAAATATTCCATATTCCTTGTTCACAGGTGAATTTTCATAATTTGCACCAAAATAGTGTTCCTTGTTCCCTGTTCACAGGTTTTCCCTACAGAGAGGGTCCGTTAACATGTAAGTCAATGGAAAAATATTTGGTTCTTTTGAAAAGCATTCCTTGTTCATAGGTTTTCCCTACAGAGAGGTATTCCATCGGACAGGTTTTACTGTATTTTAATTACCAATGCTATCAGCTATACTCATTTCGGAAGGATTTAATACGTTGTTGCTGGGGACCAAATATCAGGAAAATCATCCACATTTTGCAACAACCTATAATTGAGGAAAAGACTCATGTTTGCACCTTTTGAGATTGAACAGGCAAAACACATCCAAACATGGAGAGACTAACAATTAAAATAAATATGCGACCAAACTTGTATAACACAACTGGATGTTTGGAGTGTAGTCTTTCTAGTCAAGCGAACTCCCTCTAGTCAAGACAGTCAAGATCAATTTGTCCCATTGTAATCTATTTGAAACTGTATTTTGCCAAATGGAAAGGATGAAACTGAAAGCTATATGGTATTTATAAATGAATCAAAATGTATCCATTTATTAAAATAAAAACAAATAATCAACAAAGTGAGAATATGACAAAAAGTAGTCCCGGCAAGAAAGTCCTGTCACCTTGAACTAGGACTATTTTCAGTCATTGTTCTAATAAGCTGCTTTTTATATACATCCCAATCAGCTTTTATCTGTAGATTTTCTTGTAAAGTCTCTTCTTCCGGGTAAATGTTAATGAGTCCCCGGAGATGACGTTTAATTTCGTCCGAGGCATGTTTCATAAAAAAGTCTTTGTTAATCATAACGCATTCTGCTCCTCGACTTATCAGACTGACGCTTGTTTTCGGTATATCAAGACCATCTTCGATGTCGAACAGATTTGAAAGGCCCTTGAAAAAACAACAAAACAATTAAGTAAATAGGTAAACAACAAGATATAGATATAGAAATAAACAGATACGTAAACAATTAAAAAAGTAGAAAAATGTTCTGGTAAATTTTTAGACTTTAAGTCTATAATTAGCAAAGATACCTTTGCTTTGGGTTATTGTGTTTTTTATGGACCAATATGCCGTATTGAAGTTAAAAATTAGATCATGGGGTTAGTTCATTTTTTAATATAACATGACAATAACATATTTATCCAATCTCCGCATAACAAGCTAGAACTGTATCATGACCATGTAGAAATTGCCAATTTGCATGCAATGACCAATATGTCCTACCTTAGTAATTTGAATAGACATATGCATAAAAATACAAGCATTTACATGCACAAAAATGAAGATTGATAATGGTTTTTCACTCCTCCCCCTGTTTGAATAAATGTTGTTCTCGAATATGTATAACTTACGAAAACATCTCGAGAAGTTAACAATTCCACTTGGACAAATATCGGAGCACGTGACCGACTCTCGCCTGGACTACTACTTCTCGATGTTGCGTCACTAGATGACGTCACGCTATTGAAGCTGCCAGCTCGTAACCTGATTGGTGACTTTGTTGGGGATCGAACCTTGAAAAATGGAAATAAAAGCATGAGTAAAGTTGTAAAAGTAATCCCGGGTGATGATTCTTAAGGGTATCGAAGAAAGAATAGTGCAATAACATCATTTCGAAGGGCAATTTAGTGAAATATTTGACCGCAGAAATGACGTTTTTAGTATTATTTCCACCGTTTACGACCAGGACTGAAACAGCAAGAAAATCTTACGCACTGAACGATATCTAGTTTCCCGGGGAAAATTGCCGGTCGTTAAATGCATTCTCAACCGGTCTGAAATGCATTCTTGACCACCACTATGACGTCACATATTGCTCAGGTCGATATAGTAAAATGAACGCCTTCTAAACTTGCATTAAAACCCCTAGAATTGGCACGGCAAGGTGGTAATAATATCCCTTGAAATCAGTGACTTGTGGCATTATCATAAGCATAAGCATAATTTTTAGATACATAAAGGGATACCCCTTGCCATGATATATATCATAATAGGGTAGCTATAGCATATATACTTTCCATATTAAGCAAAACTCAGAAAATGTTTTGCTATCGTCAATATTGAGATCATAAAAAATGTAGCGCTCATTTCCAGTTAACTCCCATCTTTAAATATTCTTTAAACATTCCTTCTTTTAATATTGATCATTTGAAAATTGTAGTGTTCATTTTCAGTAAACATATGCCGCCATCTTTTAACATGTTTTCTTTTAATATTGTTCATTAAGAAATGTAGTGTTCATTTCCCGTAAACTGCCATCTTTTATATTCTTTCTTTTAATATTGATCATAAAGAAAATATGTAGTGCTTATTTCTAGTACACTGCCATCTTTTAGGATAACAAGATATTTTATCAGAAAGTAAAGGGCGACTGTCTAGAAGTGATTATGTGCTACTGAACAAACTTTACAATCTCATTACAACGTTATTTGTGCATACCTTTTTATCATCTGTAGCTTGAAGACTTTCTTTTTGAAGTTTAATAATGGGTTTGTCATCCTCAAATTTGACTTTCTTTTCTTTTCCTCCATCGTGGTCTGGCTGCTTGTGTTCAACACTCCCAACGAGGGACTGTTCGTCATTTATGGCTGGCAGAGAGTTCGGCACATTTGCTATCTTAAATTATAATCAAATCTTAAGTTGGTTTCGTTGTTTCGGTCGTTCAAAAAGATGTGCGTGGATATTTCCGTGAGTATATTTATCAAAATTGGTGTGAAATATGCAACTCTTTAGTCTTAAAATGGTTGCATTTTCATCAGAATTTAAGGATCGTCTTTGTATAGGATGGAAAATATATGAATATCATGATGTAAACAAAAACTGATCGCTCGTTATTCTTCCCACAAATGGTGAGAATTACTAATGAGGAGAACTTTCATATGACTTAAACATGGCAAGTCGCGAGTTTTAAAATATTTCTCTTCGACGATGCGTTTGACTTTACCATAACAAACTAAAATTGCGCCACATTAAGAAAATGGAATACTAATTCCATAAAGACTATTGATAGAATTTATTGATATTTACCTGCATTTCTAGCATATAATCCTCAAAACCAGTTATTGCACTTCTTAGGGCAGATGCGGGAACTATGGGACATGTGTTCCTCCTTTGATGCGGTCGCCCATTATCTATTTTAGGAACTGAAAATACGTGTATAGGTGTCTGAGGTGTACACTTATAACCTGACACGCATTATATATAAGATTACTTTTTGCAGCCTTCAGCAAATATCTTTTTAGTAATACATACATTATATAAATATCTAATGTTACCTTCGCCAGAATAATATGTATAAACATATACACTCCCCTCCATAAGTTTGGCAACCTTTTTCCCCCATTGAACTACGTGTTAAAGCCCTTTACGTTTGAATTTTTATTTACTTAACCGGCGAGGAAATAACTTATGATATTAATGGAAACGTAACTTGACTTTATTTCCAATACCTCCAAATTTTCTCAATTTTTTTCCTCAATCACAATAGGTCGAACATTGATGATAAATTTGATGAATTTTTGAAAATCGTCATTCCCATGTAATCCAATGGGAAATGGTGGGTTCGGGGCAAATCAGAAATCAGGATATCTTTTCAGTAAAAAATTCAGCAAAAAATACTTTTTATATAGAAAATTGAATTGTCTAACTTTTTTGAACACTAAGTGTTTAGTTTATTTGATGAATATTAAAGTTACAACGCTTCAAAGTTATTTTTGAAAATAATTTTTCGCCTCCTGTGTTATTTCAATGGGCGAGTTTTTTTGAAAAACAATTTTGACTTTAAAGCCCTATAACTTTGTTGAACCTGAATAAACATATCAATTTTTTGTTAAATAAAGTTAGCAAATTCGATTGCCTGCCTCACTCGTATTTTTTGCAAGGACTCAGATGGATGGATATTCTGTCATATGACTTGCAGCAAACCTACCATTTCCCATTGGTTAACATGGGAATGTCGATTTTCAAAAGTTCATCAAATTTATCATCAATTTTCGACCTATTGAAATTAAGGAAAAAAATTTTAGAAAATTTGGAGGTATTGGAATTAAAGTCAAATTACGTTACCATCAATAATATAAGTATTTTTATCGCAGGTTAAGTAAATAAAAATTCAAAGGTAAAGAGGCTTTAACACGTAGTTCAATGGGGGAAAAAAGGTTGCCAAACTTATGGAGGGGAGTGTATGTATATGTAAACAGATGTACATTTTATATATTTGATATAAATATAAAATGTACCTTGTTCACAAGTTCCAAGCTGGGGGAGATTGTTATCCAGTCCAGCTAGAGTTATCTTCTTTTTGAGTCCCACTGTTCCCGTCACTTGTTTCAGCTCCTTCATTACTTGGCACGTACCCTGCATGAAGAATAACAGGGTCCATAACAGCCGTTATCGTTGCAAAAGGGATGGTATGAACGTAATTTATGTACTAACCACTGTATTTACCCAACTCACATGTCGTAACTAACAAGAATAACGTGAACAATCGGTGCCCCGTGAAACAAAACTGATGTCATTGAATGTATATGAAAAATAAAAGCTCGTCATTTTTGAAAAAAACTTTCACAAATATACCTTTACATTCAATTGGGCATGTCAATATTGGGATGGGGAACTTATCCCAAAAAAGGTCAATTGAAAGCATATTACTTTATTCAACTAATAACTATAGTATGTACTTACGGACTTAACGACGTATATCCACTCTGAGTTGAGACTGTCCCTCACCACAACGACGCCTCTTTTAAAGAAATGGAAGAGACATTGTTCGGGATGTTCTTCGAGAGTCTCTATAGGCCAGCCTTTCATGAATTCTACACCTCTACAAGAAAAACATAAAAAGAAAAAGTGAAATACGATGAAGGTTCCATTAAATGAAATAACGCTAAAACAAATAAATCGTTTGAAGTAATATAGGTCACAACGATTTATTTTGTCTATCAAGGCGATTAGATTGACCTACTTTTTTAGATCTTATATTGTATGTTAAAATAAATGACAATGTCCCTTCGGAGAAAAAATTAAAGTATGTTTATTCGCATGCCATCAATGCATTTAGATAAAACCCTACTAACATCAGCTGGTACCTTTAAGCTCACAAACACATTCAGAAATAGCACTATCATCCCCGGGGTCCTATTCAAGGCCTATGTACTTACTTAAGGAATTTCACGTGTTCTGGTATTTCTCCAGGGCCTTGTCCACTCATGAAGATATCAAAGAAGTCATCCCTTCCTACGGCTAATAACTGAACGAAGTCCTGGCTTACAACGGTAGCTGTTCGTTTCGAATGATGCAACAGTGCAAGTTCCTGTAATCCATTTTTTATTTATTTTTTCATTTCAGAAGAGAAACATGCTAAAGCAGTCGCAAATTACAATAAATTGTAATTAATTTTTCAATCATATATTATTGGAACAACCTAAGCTCGGGTCTGAACACCCGGAACTTTCCATCATTGTACGTACATGTTCCGTTATCAAAATATCTTTAAATTGAAAGGACGAAACACAAATATCTTAAAAATAGCTTTATTATGTAACGTCATAACACTGGAGCAGAAATCTTATTCTGCAAATGACTAAGACTTAAAATAACTTAGTAAAGTAAAAGTTAATCTTACTATCGGCCTATTATATTGGTTTCATTCAAGAATTTTATATGCATACTCTTGGTCTGAATTTGAAATATTTCAGTGACATTGTTTTTTTGTGTACTAGAACTAGGAACACCAAGCTTGTCGCCGCTCGTTTACAATAAGATAACAAAACAAGATCAATTGTTGAATTTAAAGCAGATAGCTCAATGATGGCAACGCCAACCTACCCCAAAGCTCATTCCCTTTCTCATGACAGTAGCGGTCCTCATATTGGGCTCCTTGGTTTTTGGGTTCACTTCAAGTATACTCACAACAGCCTGCCCTGATAAGATGAAATAGAAGTTCTCCGCAGTGTGGCCTTGCCTGATAATAACACGCTTTGGTGGCACTCTGAAAATGATGATCAAGTTATTAACATGCAAAATGTCACCACCTGACATTTGTTACAGATACCAACTACCAAACACTAACCGCCAAACACCAAACGCCAATCGCCATCCACACAAAGTTGGAGACTAACGATACATGCATGTCAACTGCAATGGTGATATAAAAAGATTTAATAATTTTTTTATGTATTAATTTAGAATTTCAAAATCATAAACGAATACATGTGATTGCCGATGTGATGATCGTACCAGCCCAATGCACATTTCGCACTATGACAAGGTGTTAAATTATGGAGACTTGTTACATATTTCGAATCATCCATTTATACCATATTTGAACCATTTATAATCGATAATATCTTCAGCCGATAATTCATATTAAAAATTACACGTATATATGTCTCAATATTTCCATTAAGACCTGACTTACTGTGAAAACCAGGCAACTTTGCAAAGTTTTTCTTGCATATGAAGCGGATACTCTGCAAATGATCGTAGATGTTGAAGACCATACAACGCCTGGAATAAACAAGATTGTTACTGAAAATCTGATCCGTCAACCTGTGTTGAAGTCAAAGTCTTTGTGTCATAGTTGATTCCATTTATCATGAACCTAATTTGCTTTGCTTATATCCCATCATAAAATGTTATTACAATATCTAAATGAGTTGGCCTTAAAATTGTAGGTTAATCCGGTAACAGCTAGCCATTTGTTGCATTTGCGATCAAGCTAAATGTTGAGGGAAAGTATCGCAACAGATTTCGGACAGTCATATGTTTTAATTTTGATTTTGGCTATTAAGGAATAAGTGATTCCTTATAGATAAAGTGGAAAACAATATTTCCCATGTTATTTTCCCATAGGGAAAACTCATGCGATCCATTGCTTTCAGTTAATTTTGGTCACCCGTGTCCGCACGGGATATTGAATTGAGCAATGAGCACATTTAGATTAATTTCATGCCTGAAGCTGGCTTGTTACAGTATACTCCCCAGAGGCGACTCCTGGTTGTAAAAACAGATTGAATTTAGCACTTACTGTTTGCAGCTGATCCTGTGTTCTTGCAAATGGGGGAAGACTCAAAATGTACTTTACTTCGTTACTGATGTTCACCTGCAAATATGAAACAATTGTTAAACCTATTATACTTTGTATTCAAGTCAAACTGATTAACTTTTTGAAACATCTGAGCATAATTTTGTTTAGATCATTAAATGTCTGAATTCTTAAACAACCTCTTCATCAAAACAAATCCCTTTTAAAAGAAATAATTGATTTTGTCACTGTTAATCTATTCATTTCAGTAATTATTTTTGTAAAACTATTATTATGTATCATCCAAACCGTCAATCTGTCAAACTATCGTCCATATAGACCTTTTAAAGGATATGATAAAGTAACGAGGGAGAAATAAATTTCTAGTTCCAAAATATATTAATAAGCTTTGACTTACCTCACGTTTAGCCTTGAAGTACGCAGGATCAAACGCCAACGATGAGTTGTTCAAATCGTCGGGTTGTACGGTATAGGCGTCGGACGCCAAATCCGTAAACGTCGTCATCTTCTTATCGCCAGATTCCTTCGTGTAAGTATTGTCCTCTTCTTCATCACTCTGCCTAAATTCATCAAACGTAATTAATTTATCATTAATACCGACCTTGGCATTATCAACTATTGGAAGAACACAATTCACTGAGAATTGGATATACAAATAAGATTACTAGGGACGCCGCTGTAGTTTTACTTTGACGTCATTATGACGAAAACAGTTACTGAAGGTTTAAGGAAGATTGGCTCCCAGAGTGCAACATTGATTGATATTCTGTCTATACAAAATTCGAATTCAAACAACCGCCATTTTGTCCACTTCAACACTTGAATTGTGAATTTTGGTCTTATTTCCTCACGAAAAATTCTAGAACTCAAAAGAAATGATCGAGATATTGGTTCGAATCGTTTTGATTTTGAACTGGTTATTTTGAATTTAAAGTCGGGTTTAATTTCGAGTATATTGAGTTTTGATCCTTTTGAGCCAATCCTCCTTGTGAAGGTTATAATGTTTTGTTTTGTTGATTGCAGATTAACAAACGTAAATATCTTACTTTTTCTGCAGCATGACAGACACCCATTTTAACAGGATTGTGACCATTCGTATTGCCCATTTAAAGCGCGCTCGTGCCTGAAAAACATATAAAATAGCTAAATACTCATAGTGGAACACAATCTTTAAAAGTATGAGCTAGGTTTTAGAAACTTCTTTGCCAACATTTGAATGAAAAATAATCATATTTTTAGGCCACTTATTAAATATAAATCATATTTTCAGACCATTTATTGAATAGCATTAATTATGTCCCCTTTTCCTCAAAATCATCTAGAAAGGTCTCGCCTATTCTTAAACCAAATTGCCTCAATATTTTCTCAACTTCTCGGGTAATTCCTTTCGTTTTCATAAGACCAAACAGTGGAATTTGAAAAAAATTATAGTACAGTTCTAAGGCCTAGGAATATGGCATTTGTAAAAGTCCACACTCATTTTGATTTGCTGATATCTAATTTGTTCAATTTATTAATGGGATGTGGCACACAAAAAATTCATTAGACACTTACAAGCAGTGTTTTGGCCGTGCGTTCGAATACAGATTCAATTTCATTCTTTTCAGGCTCGGTTTTAAGAATATTGTCTTTCATTTTTCTACATTTCTGTTTCTTTTGAGCCAGACGGGTTTCCCGAAAGGCTTGAATTATACCATGGAATTCCGTCATAGTTGAAAAGTTGGCCGTCACATACGTGTCGTCCTCCAAAAGGGCATCATTTAATGTATTCTTAACCTTCTTATTGGCTGAAAAATCATCGCCGCGGTTATTATTGGAATCGCATTTTGTTTTCATCTGAGGCGTCGATTTTGACCTTATTAAAAACATCGATTGTTTGTTGTGAGAATGATTTGATAATAACTGGTTAGAGCTTTGCAGTTTTCTTGTTAAACGTCGTCCACTTGTCAGGCCATTTCCCAATTGTCGGGTGTCAAATGAATCCGCTTTCAGATAATCAGTGTACTGTATCGATCGTTTGTTTGATTTGGAAGACTTTCCCGTCGTAGGCCTTTTTGTTTTATAGAGATCCGGCGTTTTACGACCTGGTGGTATCCATTTAAGACGGGAAGCCGTCGATAGCGACTCTGGTATGCGATCAGTGACGGACACAAATCCAGAGAGCCTTTTGGACAATTCCGATGTACTCCTTGATATCCCTAAAGCACTAGCGCTTCGTTGGTGCCTTCTCAGGTCCCTCACAATAGACGACATTATTATTAGATGCGGCTTTGAATTTGTCCTGAACGACACTTATCTCTCTCCCTGTGTGTCTATGTCATCGTCTCAAAATTCCTATGATATTCTAAGCCAAATTGGAATATGGTCGTCCCCAATTTCCAGATGCAAGGTCACGTGATATGACTCATCCAATCAGGTAATGGTATAAAACTGACGAACGTGGCAAACTTAATGGATAACTGTGCTTCGTGTGAAATCTATAGAGGAAAACATTTCTTTAAGAAGTGTCAATCATAGTGGAGATAGTTGTATAGATCCTATATTATAATTAAATATCTCGTCTTTCAGTCAATGTATCGGCAGATACTTGTCAATATTATTAAAAAACAAGTCAGCATATCCCTTTTTATAATCATATTTATTTTCAAGTTTTTTAATCTTCAATTGCATTGTCCTGATATGAAACGGCTATTGACAACTTTTGGATCGAATAGCGACTCATCCCAAAAGGCAATGTTTATTGTATATAAAAAGAAATCAGTTAGCTATAGGATAGTTTGATTTGATGATTTGAAACGATCGTGAATATTTATATTTACAGCCATTCATTGTACCTAGTTACCAGCACGATTCAAGATCACTTCACGAAGCTACAATTTTGATACTCAGGGCAGAATGATTTCCTGCTCTGCCTTTTGAACGACGCTCCCAATGCGGAACAAGGGTGAAATGACAATGATGTTATTCCCCGCAGGATTTGTATCGATGTTGTTTTTTCTGTGGTATTCGCTCTCTCTTTTAACCAGGCGCTAATTCGGATTTAGCATTTTGTATCATCCGTGAAAATATTTTTATTTCTTGATGCCGTTAAATTTCCCGCTTATTGTCCTTTTTGCCGTATCCTGACATATCATGTTGTATATTCTTAGAAGCTGAATATTCCCGTACAACATTAGTATATATCCTGTGCATCTTTTAGGGTAGTATTAATAACTAGCCTCTGTCTGAGAAAACAATTTTACAGTTTTGATACTGAATATGATAAGAAATACCCCGATGGTTTACTTGGCTGCCACGGGAATTCGATTGGATTGCTAGCTGGGACTTATCTTATTGGATACGACTAGATCAAAGGTATATCTCGTATTCAAAGAATGCTAGCTTATAGACGATGCTCTCCAGGAAGAAAAGTTGAATTCTTGAAAAGGGTAGTTATAGCAGTACAAGATGGCAGTCGATCAATTAAGTACCTGGCCACAGAACAATTAGATAGCATTGTTTAAATATTACACAGATTTTATTGTAATGGGCTCTATAGAATATACTGTAGATGTAACCAATGTTTATTTAATAGTATTGTTCATAACTTTTGCAAAAGCTCGTCCTTGTTTGATTGTGTAATACCTTTTAAAGTACAATTTGCAAAATTATTTATATGAGATTGATTAAAGTACATGGAAACTGATTTTTGTATTATACTCTCTATTTGAAATTCTTGCATTGTCAATTCAAACTTATTTGCAACTATGTGTTATGTGTGGGTTGAGTTGACTTTGGGTTGAGTTTTACTGGGGTTGAGTTGACTTGGGGTTGAGTTTGACTTGGGTTGAGTTGACTTAGGGTTGGGTTTGACTTGGGTTGAGTTGACTTGGGGTTGAGTTTTACTGGGGTTGAGTTGACTTGGGGTTGAGTTTGACTGAGGGTTGAGTTGACTTGGAGTTGAGTTTGACTTAGGGTTGAGTTGACTTGGGGTTGAGTTTGACTTGGGTTGAGTTGACTTGGGGTTGAGTTTGACTTAGGGTTGAGTTGACTTGGGGTTGAGTTTGACTTGGGTTGAGTTGACTTAGGGTTGAGTTTGACTTGGGTTGAGTTGACTTTGGGTTGAGTTTTACTGGGGTTGAGTTGACTTGGGGTTGAGTTTGACTTAGGGTTGAGTTGACTTGGGGTTGAGTTTGACTTGGATTGAGTTGACTTGGGGTTAAGTTGACTTTGGGTTGAGCTTTCCTGGGGTTGAGTTGACTTGGAGTTGAGTTTTACTGGGGTTGAGTTGACTTAGGGTTGAGTTGACTTGGGATTGAATTGACTTGGGGTAGAGTTGGACTGGGGTAAGTAGACTTGGGGTTGAGTTTTACTTCGGTTGAGTTGTCTTTGGGTTGAGTTTTACAGGGTTGAGTTGACTTAGGGTTGAGTTGACTTGGGATTGATTTGACTTGGGGTTGAGTTTTACTGGGGTTGACTTGACTTGGGGTAGAGTTGGACTGGGGTGAATAGACTTGGGGTTGAGTTTTACAGGGTTGAGTTGACTTGGAGTTAAGTTTTACTGGGTTTAGTTGACTTATGGTTGAGTTGACTTGGGATTGAGTTGGACTGGGTTGAGTTTGACTTGGTTGAGTGGACTTGGGGTTGAGTTTTACTGGGTTGAGATGACTTGGAGTTGAGTTTTTACTGGGGTTGAGTTGACTTAGGGTTGAGTTGACTTGGGATTGAGTTGGACTGGGTTGAGTTGACTTCGGTTTGAGATGACCTGTCACCTGGACACCCTATACGGATGCAGAAATAACCACTTACGCGCTCAGACCTAGCTGATATTTCCTGTTGTTCGTGTGAATTTAAAGAAGATGCTGGGGAGGATAACGACGCTCTCCTCAAACGGCTTCGAATATCCATAGCCGCATCTCTCCGAGGGCCGCGCAGACGTCTTGTAGCGCCGTGTCGTGGTGACGTTAATTCAATGGAAGTGACGCAATCATCTAAGCCCGAAATTGGGCGCTTTGATTGCAACTGGAGGTCACTAGCATTCCTTTTCACCGCTCTGTCTGCTATACGTTGCATGAAACGGTTACTGGCCATTACTTTTTTCGTTAAACCTGTGATTTTCGGCAACGTGTGTTCTCGTCTCATTATTGCTAAAGGGCTTGTTTCAATTGTCTTTCTCATGTATTTACTTTGGTAAGCGTTTGTGGCTTGAAGTATGTCATTAAAAGCATCGGTTGCCGTGTCAAGTGATGTCGTTTTCAGTCTCTTTCCAATGATTTTCTGTGCTGCTTTTTGAACAATACTTTTGGAACGGAACACGGGCGGTAAGTTAACTATGTATTTTCCTGTTGTGTCCGTATCGACGTCCGGATTTCTGTTGCATTTACTCTTGTCTCTTGCACCCACGTTTTTCCTATCGCTTACTTTAATATGTATATTTCCATCCGAGTCTAATTCATCCTCGTCCTCTCCACTTGAATCGTACGATATCTTTGGGAGGTGAACACTTAATCGCAAGTCCTTGCCTTCAAACTTTGTATCAGGAACCCTGGGCTCGATTCCAGCGTCGTCTGAATATTTCTTATACTGATTAATCACAGAATCGTCGTCGGAATCAGACGGTCCATCTTCGCTTGCAGCATATGTAACTGCAACGAGGGGATCTTGGTTACGTACTGCTCTTGTTTTAATTCTTGAGGTCTCGTGAAGTGAATCCAAAGATTGCGTTTTTCTAATCTTTGGTAGCGTCAAGATATTCACGTCATCATTTGAAGGTTTCAATTTCCCCGTTCTACTGCCTTTTTTAAAATTTGGATCCGACAACTTTGGTTCATATTTATTGACCCCCTTTTTACTCTTAATTGAAGTTTCGTTCCGCATCTTGAGTACGTTATATGTTACTATGGTAACCCCAGGTAAAGTATTTTAAATGTATTCAAGGTGAACTCTGTTTTGGTTATGCATTTAAACATAAACGCTATGTGTTGCTGAAAATATCAATGTTCTCCAGGTCCACTATACAGTTGATCGTAGCATCGCGGCCCTGATAACAGCTTTACTTATAAAAATGTGATCTCAAAAATAAGTCAGTGATTTCATAATTCAAATCTCAACAACACATCCCCATGGTAACAATATATATTATCATGTTCATTTCCATTCCATTCCATTTCCATTGTGTTAATCTATCTCCATTTTAATTCATCAATATTCGAATATGTATTTGTTTTGATTCACTCCACCACTGTATCCTATAGAAATGGCAGTATGTCGGGCATTTACAATATTATATTATTTGATATAAACACGATTAACATCTAATCCAATTACTTATGTTAAATTGAATTGCAATTCGCAAAGCTGCGCAAATCGAATTGGTTTTCGTGTTTTGTTCAACTAAATTGATTATAAAATGGGTTATTGTTTTTTTCAAGGTGAACCTACCTATGATCTAGAAATTTAAATGAGATTATCATGGTTGATATTCGGGGCACCCTTGCATGTAATTTAATCCCATAATAGGTTGGTTGATAAAATATATTTGTTTTGGAGGAAAAGTATTACATTACATTTGTCACTGGCGCCCCCTATTGGAAACAAACATTCTCTCAAAATAGGTATCGTGTTTTGAAGTCAAGCCTCGATTTTTTAGTTTTGGCATATGATTGCTTGTTTTCCTAATCAACCTTCGGATTTGTTGTATATATAAAATAGGAATGTTTATCTTGATATATTAGCAATACGATGTCAGTATGAAGGACGAAACGCGCCAGAGATGATGTGAAATGGCGAAGAATGTTTTATATGGCGATCCGATATATCACCATAAAACACAAAGTCCGCTATTTGACCACGTTACGTGTTCCAAGCTTATACTATATTAGGCGATCTTGAAAAAAATAATTGAAGAAGTAAGACCCCTTTTCAAACATTTACCGATTTTTAACAAGATCTTAAATGGGAATTCCGAGTTATCTAGACTTTTTTAAGAGATGATGTATGTTGACCCAAGAAACAGCTATAGATGCTATATATTATTCTCTTTATTGTTGATGTTTTGTGTGAATATGCACCACACCATTCACACGAAGTTTATAACGATAATGCACATCACATGCAAAAATTCGATATCTTATCAAACGGTTTAGTTTGTGATTAAAATAATTAGAAAGATGGAAGCACATACCACTCTCTTTTTCACCTCAATGCTTACAGCGATTGTTACAGGGCCAGATTGCGTTTTGCTGCTCTGTCGCCTACGTCCAGTAGCACTATGACGTAAACTACGTCGTCTTTCAGTGACTGATACACTATCCTGTGTATCAGAGCGTTCTGAATACAGCGTTATGGCATCATCCGCCAGTGATATACTTGGCTCACGTTTAAGTTTTGGTCCCTTGGTGGAAGAAGCGAAAGACTCCGCTAGAGACGACCTTCTGTTGCGGCGAAAAGAGTTTGTTATGATGCCGTCATTTGAAGACGTAGGATTATTTTTTATAAGAGTATTTGGTTCATTATCAATAACAGGAAGTCTCTCAGAATTTGGTTCATTTATAATGATATCTTCAGGATGACTAGCTTCCATAACTGATTTACTATCTTTGCTATTGCTTCTCGAGCGGTTGCCTGGTTTGTTTCTCGGATAGTTGTTTTTCTCATTTTTCTTCCCAGATGTTTCCGCGAGAAAATTGAGCAAAATGGCTGTTTTCTGAAAATGATTTTTCTTCCGGAACGGTCCATTCTTCTTCGCTTGTCGTCGCCGCATTTCTTCTTGCTTTTGTTGGGCGTGGATAAGTCTCTGCATTGCCGCCAGACTACTACCCGTGTAGTTTTCAGGCTTAGCATAATAATTAAGGTCCGTTTCCGGTGGCTCATTTCTAGTAGTTAGTACTCTAGTTTTATTGAGGGATTCTTCAAAACTTGCCATGTTGTTGCCTTACATGAATTTGTTATATATAACTACCGTTTGATCCATTAAGTTACTCCTCCAGTGGAATAATAATTAATTTCCAAATAATATTTGTTCAAAAGATCGTGTCGATCAAATTCGTTAATACGGTTACCAGTATCCAAATTAGTGATTTTAATTGAGGTGTCCATTTACTTGTAAATAGTCTGCAGTAGGTATCACTTCAATTTTTTTTAATAATGACCAAGATGTAGTTTTTTTATTTATCTATTTTGAACTGTTACGTCCTCAACTCCCGGGTCACTGTTTGTAGTGTGGACAATATGGGGATTCATCTATTGACATCTCAAGCCACTCTTCATTTCACACACTCTGAAAATTGAAAATAAGATCTGTTAGGATCGATTTAATTTGATATTCTATAGGGTTCACTTTCAAAGAAAACATCAAATGACAAAACATATACCACTGGAAATTGAATAGTTTTGTAATAGAGTACACTTTGCGGTATAATTAAAGATAATATTTATTTATCCAAGCTGAATTGCAATTTGGGACTGGAAGTCAGATTATTCAAATGAAACTTGTTATTGAAAAGATACACAAATTATTTGCTCACAGGGTTGTTGGTTGTACTATAGTATCCAAATAAATTGGAGTTTTAATTTACGCAAATGTTGAATCACAAAGGATTCAATGCGAACATTTTGATATAACTTTATAAAATTCGCAACCTGTTGTTATAGTTCTGACAAACATGATTTGGCAAGTTGATAATATTAAGTAATTTAAAACTATGTCAACTTGTTTTCTTCAGAAATATTGGCTGAAATATTGTGACTTAAAAGAATCAATATATATAAAAAGATCATGCAAAACGCCAATAAACCAAAAACAGAGTTATCACTAGAATTATGATTTTTAAGGAAGACTCGGGGAGGGGTATCAATACCAAAAAGTCTAATAAACGAACGTTTTTTAACAACTGTTGTTAAGATACATATTGTTGCTCATAGAGAACCATATTTTCAAGAGTCTTATACATGTAGGTCTGCAAATACTCGTTTTGCGCCAGCTCTATTTAAATCTACTACCATACAAGACGACTTATGACACTCTATCCTTTATAGATGTAACATGATATCTAGGTCATTCTGACAAGCGTAAAAACATATTTTGATTTGATATCGATGTACAATCGACGTTTAATAACGTAAAAATTTAATTTTATTGTTGTACTTCCATAGTTGAAAAGACTATTAAGTATTCAAATAGGCCAAAACAATAAAAATGTTTAACTTACTATATTTGAATTTGCTTTATTATCTGTCTGCAATATGCCAACTAAAACAAATTGCAGGAGATCTACTCACGTGTCAAATATCCGTAAATATTTGTTACTACACTGATGCACATATTTGTCACACTTAACAGTCACATGCTCGCAATTGAGATAAGTGTTAAAGATATAATATAAACTTACCTTAAATTGAATAATCTACGAGAAATCTGATATAATTTAACACGTCCAGTAAAAGATACGTGTTGTAAAATTGTCTCATATTATCTCCACTCTAACACCATCGGCATTGATATCAAGTGGTGTAAAGTATCATATGTCATCAAACGCTTTGTAGTTATCATAAGAAAACACGAATCGGCTACCACCTGATTAAATTTTAAAACTCTGCGGTGTACTTATTCGTTGTATGTCTTGTTTTACGTTAACCTCATGTCCAGCTTGATATCATTACCATGTTCTAAAGTTTAACTAGAATTCGGTCATTGGAATAAAGTTTTGAACTTTTAAGAGTTTTTCAACTTAAAGTGTTCCACGTCGCCTCGGATGCTGTATCAATAATGTTTCAATTGGCAATACAATTGATTTATTTGGTCGTATTATTGACTATTTATATTTCTTTTCAACTACTCAGAACATTTTCCAAGAGTGTTTTGAACCATAACAACATTTGAAAGAGAGTGACGTCGTCAATTAAGAAGTATTGTTGGTTACATGAAGGTGTTTAATCGTGTGGTGACAATAGACCAATTCTTTGTAATTATACCTTTAATTCGATCATTTTGAACGCAGAACGTGAATCCTTTTGTAGTTATTATAAAACACATAAGAATAGTACAGTTGGCAATATACACAGATCGCATCAAAGCATCTAAAATGTATATGGGAATTTATGAAGCAAGCCAAGTAATTTAAAGTTGTGTAATATATTAAAAAGTGTATTAGCCCATTAATGAATCATATTATTACATGTATGTTACATCACGGATGACACATCCAGTTTTATCGTTAATTTTAAAATTACTCCGAATTTTGTAAAAAAAAGTTAAATAATTAATTCTTGAATGTATACTTAACCTGATTTCATAGTAGCTCATTACATCTTTACGTGGCAATACTAGACCATCTGTTTCTCATACCAATTCCTTCGTCCATCTGGGTGATATTCTGGGTTTAAAGAGGTTAAGGGATGGACCAATAAGTCGTAGCATTAGGGAATTTCGTTAAATTTGGTGGAATCATTATATTGATTATTTGAGTCCGAACCACAGAAAGGGTAAATCAGTCATAATTTTCCAAAATTGGAAAAAGAATTAAATAAGGACAGAAAATTGACAACATGGTAAAAACAAAAAGGGGCAAATGATACATCCCCGGTTGGCACCATTCTGCTTTGAATACACATTAACTTGTTTTCGGGAATTATACTATCCAAATCGTAAATAGAAGGAAAGAATCAATATTAAGTAAGCTACTTTCCCATTAAGAATTTAAAAATAATTCAATATTTTTATTTCAGATTCTGACATTACAATAAACTACAACTTGGCTATGGCAACATAGTTAACTAGTAAATAATAAGGCCATAATAGGTACCACTCCGAGAGGTAAATATAAAGGGATTGGTATAATCGTTTATATTGTTTCCAAATTGATAAATCTGCTCAATAGGTTTGAGAATTAAGCATACTATTTGAATCGACATATTTTTCATTCAAGATCAATGTGTCTAACTTTTGGAGAATCATTTGACGGTGTAGATTCAAATGCGAAATGTTTTGGAAAATATAGTTACTATGCAATAGATATATTCATAGGTTCTGGGCCGATATAAAGATGGCAGCACCAACATAATCCAGTATTATCTTTTTCTAAAGAGAAACATAGATACACAGATCGATAACCATGCCATTACTTTATTAAAAATGATTTCAATCGCCCTTAGCCTTTGGATATATTTTGAAATTATGTTCCCGACTGTCATTAAACCATGGGGGTGTAGCTTGGCATTAGTAAGGTCATCGCTACATAACTGCAACCGCCATTCCAAACGTTTTCAGAGATCTAGATAATTATATAATCAGCATTCTCAGATACCAAAAATGGGTTGCTGATTATTTTTGGTATTACAATGACTGTATAAGTGCAATGTTTCGGTATTTTTGGAGTTTGATCGATAAGATTAATATTAAAAATGTTTTAAAAAAATCTCTAAAACAACTTTTATCATGAAAAATAATTAATTTATGATAAAAACATATTTTCAAATTTACCACGTCACCAGCCGGGTACCGAATGGCCGCTTTTTTGACCGCTCTAGATCTAAAATTCGACAAATTGCGAGTTTCGAACTAAGCAATTCACCTCATTTATTTTATTTACATGGTATATTAGTACATGTAGATCTTAAATAATGATATGTTGGGCAGGTCGAATTGTTTCTTATTTTTGAAAAGGCATTTTCAGCTACAAATATGTTCTAGATCTATATTAAGATAATACTGAAGCAGATACCATACTCATTCAAACTAAACCACTGTGCGTGTATTAAAATGCAAGGTAGCTACAGGGATAGATCCGACATGCTTTAAAATCAACAACAAAATGGGCGACATCTTTCTAACATCGAATTTTTAAATTATAGATTAGCGTTGCTTAGAAAACGTTATCCCTAATAAAAATAACTCAATGTTATTCCTGGAGAAATTCTTTAGGTACCCAAACGTATCCAACTTTATTACTAAATATCGGTTATTGCACCCATGGATTATCTTACACTGTGAGTTCTATTCAAAAGAAAACGTAATTCTCAAAAACATCGCCACAACAAAGCTGGGTTCTTAGTATGGTTTGTCGTGACCTTGGTCAGCTACCATTGAGGAAATTGTCACTAGATAGAGCTGAAAAGCTTAACAGCTACTATTCAAGGAAATTGTCACTAGATAATAAGGACATTTTTACAAATAGAAACATCAGTTAGTTGCATTATTTTATAAGTGTTATATAAATATATATAATACGAGACATGGACCATGGCCGATATTTGAATCAAATAACGAGACGATGATAGAATCCTCGGAGAGATTGAAGTTAGATGGGCAGAGGACTTACCACAAGCTCTAGATGTCATAACAGATTTGCAATAAGTAAGTATATTACATTATAAGACATGTAATAATGACCAGTGTATATATTAATGGACGACACATACACCACAAACTAGATAAATAGATACTGGACGTCATTGACCACGAGTGATGCAACTGGTGAATATTGCATTAAGGACAATGGGTATGTTGAGGAAGTTACTAGTGGTTGAGTTCAATAGCTCTACTATGGATACGAATATTCTTGGCAAATAAAATCCGGACTAATAGCTCATTTGGGACTTGATACAAATAATGAAATTTATAACACTATAGGGTGCCCCAAAGGAATTATTACACAGATAAACACAGCGTATCACTGTGAGTTATACAAGAATGTTCTTGAAATGTCTTCTGATAGATAATTCAATAACCTTAAACATATACGTTTAATCAAGTCACTTAATTCATTTTTAGAAAGGAACATCTTTTAATACCATCACGCATATATCAATGTTGTACAGACATGGAATTATTTTGTGAGTGATGAAGGAATATACTTTAAAACTCTTCATCTGATTGACAATTTTATAAGTTATTGAATGGTTTGAAGTGCAATACAGGATATATTCTGCTCGAGAAATTCCGTATTGAAACGAGACGAAGTCGAGTGCCAATACAGAATATCGAGACAGAATATCCTGTATTGCACTTCAAATCATTCTTTAACCTTTTTATCGTGTGATCCTCCCTATTGCTACTGCATTGAGAATGTCCCCTCCATACCAATATTTTCTGTATTGCGACGGAGATGATCAATGCGGACAATCTCAGTAGCAATACAAATTGGTACAGCACAAACACCGACCAATCAGAAGGCTTCATTTTACAGATCATACGATAAAATAATCAGGAAGATCTGGAAAAATACCCCCAAAATCCTTAATGCTGTTGAACGAATAATAAATTAACTTTATCCTGTAAAACGTCAAACTCTTCGATGAAGGAGTTTTACCGTCTCATTGGGTACTAAACACTTTTGTGACACCCTGTTTATAACAATATTTAGAGACAATAGGTACATAATCAAACAGGTCATCGTCAATAAGCTATCAAAGAAACGTTATTGCAGGAAAGTGGTCTTCAGAAAAAACTGTGTAAAACTAAAAGGTATTGATTTCATGATAATAGTCAGGCTATTGTCTGATCACCTTGACTAATGGTCATTAAGAATTCTGAAAAATACAATTAAATTGTTCAAATAGTGTTACTACCTAAATCGTTATGAGTGAGCTAACCATGTAGACCACAAACTTCTGTAGTTTGTGGACATTTCTAAAACCATAAAATGCCAAAGAAGTCGAAGTACTACGGAAATGAATAAGATCTAGTGTTAATTGCTTTTACACTAATCAATCATTATGCAATAGAAACTCTTGGCAAATAAGTGTTTTGAAATATTTGCAAAGACCAGTTACGTCTCAAGTCATATTTACAAATAACCTCTCAAGTCAGTTATACCCGATAACTCAAATTATTCATTTAAGGCATAGAGTCGTAGGTATAAGTCGGTCTGTTGAAGATAATCGAGCTTCAACTCTTAAAGGAGCGATAAAGAATTATAACTTCAGATTAAGAACTTCATTCAAATAATGTACATGGAATCTATAGTCGAATAATTGTCTTCGATTTTGTTGTACTCGCGATCGAAGATGTGGTTACAAGCTAAATTATAAAAGTATAATATCAACTTCATTTTTACAATTTCGGTTGTAGAAATGTCTATTACTGCTTCGCCTCCCTCATACCAATATACGCTCATTAAACGGTACAATATTTTTTTGGCACATTTGAGCTTTGTAATACATTCAAAGCAAAATAAATACAAATGATAATTTGGAAAATAAATCGTTCAGTAAAACATTTTTTTTGTACAAGTAAACTGTTATTAATGTTTGAAAGATATGTTGGACATATCGGGAAAATTGAGCGAATACGTATTTGAGAAATAAATTATTAAGATCTATGATACTAAGCATACTTTACTAAACATCTTTAATTGATTTTTAGATGGACTCTGCATACTTGAGTAACAGGCAAGATGGAGATCTGACTAATAAATCACCGGGTTGTCCAAGTACAAGGTTAATACTGCGACTGAGTCCAGTGTAAACAGACATTATGGATATTATGATTCCAACCGACGGCATACAAAAAGACTCAGACAATGAGATTTTAACGCTGTGTCCACCCAAAGGATCGGGATACAATATGGACTTAGGATCCTCTGTCGAAAGCTTAAAAATGCAAACTGCTTTTGGGAAAACGAAAGTTCACCCAAGTTTTTCAGATGAATTTACTGAAAAGGAAGGAGAAATCAAAGCTCTCCATGAATATCTTTCTCAGTCAATTGCAACTAATGACACGGGAAACTTTGAAAAGGGACTCGCAGATATTAAAAAAAGTATTGCCAATTCTCAACTTTTTGGTGGCCTGTTGGACAATCGTCTTGTAAATGTTAAATATGGAGGAACACTATTACAAGAGGCAATATTTCATAGGAGATCAGATATGGCTAGACAATTGATGAGACTTGGCGGAAAAGAGCTGATCTTAAAGCAAATAGTGAAGGGAGCGGGCGAAGGTGGGACGGTACTTCACGGCGCTGTTGTTCAATCACTTCGTCCAATTGTAAAGGAAATATTTACCGAATTAAACAAAGATGAAATTAAACAGTTACTTTACTCAAAGGCAATTGGCGCATTCTTCAAAAGGATGTTCAAATCTTATGAAACGCCTTTGTTTTTAGCGTTATTGATTCGTGATATCTCAATGGTTAAAATACTTTTGGCGGCTCATGTGGAATCACTCTTCGTCACTGACTCATGTGGACAGAATATTCTGCATATTCTGGTGAAACTTTGCAAAACAGCAGATAGCGAGGCATTCACCCAATTCACATTTGATGTGTACAATATGATATGGGAAGCAAATAATGGGGAAATAGTCATGCAGCATCTAGCATCAATGGAAAATAACAATGGAATGACGCCGATGCTTTATGCAATATCTGAAGGAGAATTTCAAGTCGTCCATCGTATGATGCAAACATTATACAGGCACGAGGACATAACGTGTGGACCATCAGCACTGGCGACGTACGACGTTACGGAAATAGAAACATGTTCTGAAGTTGGGACAAAAAATGCGCTCCCTGGTATATCGCTTTTCGCGTTATCGTATGACTGTGATAGAAAACGAGACATATTTTACTGTCAGCCATGGGCCTTGCTATCAAAGCTAAGATGGCGAAGATACGCCCCGAGAATGCTCGTTTTGATGATACTTCAGCTCATCATAATGATATCAATCACCATTATTATAGTAGATAAACCAACACACAATTATATAGATGAATATTATAAGAACGCATCACGTGATAACCTCACAGCGTCATTTTTCGAAGCACGAGGCTACGATACTCACATAGGTAAACTAAAGATGGTACTCGACTTTCTTATACCTGCGATATGTTTTCTGTCGTTCGTCAACGAGATTATGGTCACGATGGGCTATAACTATCGACTAATGAAGAAGGGGCTGCCGTTCATAGAATGCGTGAAAAGGCAATTCAGTCCAGCGGCTGGAATTGGCTTGTACTGTGTCATGCAGACATTGTTTGGATTCTCGATATTCATATCAGTCGTTTTAAGTTTGCTGTCTTTTCATACAGCCGATATTTTTTCTGCTATTGGACTCATCTGTGGGTTTATCTACCTTACATTCTATGCCAGAAGTATCGAATACACATCCCTGTTCACAGTTTCAATTACGAAAATGCTGTTTGGTGACATCTCAAGGTTTCTCGCTATAATATCAGTCTACCATTTAGGATTCTCAACTGCGTTTTTCGTCCTTTTTAAGAACACAGTAGGAGGACCGCCAGAGGACTTTGAGACCTACTGGACGAGCATGTTGGCCGTGTATAAACTCATGCTGGGATTGAGTGATTTCTCGACCATGGAAGTTGAATTCGAGACAGTCTTGTGTCTGTTCTATCTTTGCTATACGATGATCATTACTGTCATGTTGTTCAATATGCTGATCGGCATCATGGCAAACACCATCAACGCCGTGGCGGAACAGACGATGTACCTTGCCCAGTTGCAGCGTCTGTCGTGCATCGTTGCTATAGAGAACCGGATACCGTTTGAGAACTTTGCATCAACTGCGATCAAGCAAGGATGGATGACAGTAAAGACAGTTATATTCGCTGGGAAGAAGCAGAAACGGTTATTCATCCAATGTGAAGAAGAAATAAACGTTGAGCCTAAACCGACAGCTAAAACTATAAAACCACTGCATATAACTACGGATCTGTTTCCATAACGTCTCTGTCGATTGTCACTAGGAATGAGTCATCAAAACATTTCTAAATTATTATTTATGTGCATAAATTCTTTTTATTCTTAACGACCGACCTGACATCTTTATATAAATCTATAATGTATTTGTATTGAGTGAGTTCCTCCATGCGCAGTTAGAAAATTAAAAATTTACCCAAGCCCTCCCACCCTTGTATTATCTATGATGAATCATGCTTCATGTGGGGGCGGTTATTCTAGTACTCAATGTATATGTATTTGAGTTTATATGTTTTATGTTTACTTAATAAACCGTTTTAGCCCAGAATATTCTTGTCTAGTTGTATCACAGGCTGGTATCGAAATATTTGTCCGCTGTGACGGAGCATGCTATTTTTCATAAAAACAGTAAGAATACTTCACGATTTATTTTTTAACTAACGATTTTTACAATAATGCAATCATTTCCTTATTAAAATGGTGACGAGTTTTATTATTTCGAAGATATTACATTTGAGCCTGTAAGGAATACATTAAATTCTACTTTTTGCTTGCAATTTTGTCACCCCGTATTGATTTTAAAGCCAGGACTGGATGACTGAATTGTTAAGATTTGTTTGGATTACCTTTTTTGGCTCACCCTGTACATCTACCATACCCAGAGAACCAGAAAAACTTATCAGTTCTTGTTGTTTGAAAGTAGAAACATCCCTGGAAATATTTGAAACCAATTTTCATTTCGGTTCGCCTGGAAATGTGTAGGCAAGACTTAACTGACAGAACCTTGGGACGGAAAATCCAAAATGGCCGCCTTTACTTATCCAGGATAGCAACTATCTGTAATGGTTCGCCTGGAAACTCGGGTACTCAAGATTTATAACGGACGGGATTTTAGGATGGATACACCAAAATGGTCGCCTGAACATTTACTTAGGAGCCCCAAAATAATCACTACGAGATTTTTATACAAAAACATCCGCCCTGAAAATTTGAAATTAATCTCTTAAAGCCAAAACTTTACAAACACGATTTTAGGATGGAACATTTTCCCCGAAAGTAACAACTAATCAGCTCGATCAGTTCGAGATTTTTATACGAATAAAAATTTGAAACCAATCCTGTAAACGTGTATACAAGACTTAAAAGTCATGATTTTAGGACCCAAAAACTAGTCATTTATTATCAATCCGTCAAACCAGAAGTGCGCAAAAATCACAAAATAGATGTATCTTAATTGGTAAATTTTCCCTCTTTACACTAACACCTCTTAAGCCCAAATGGATTAAACTCAAGCAATTAAATATTAATGACTGAATTATTCTATTGTTTCATTTCAGAAACTTATGTCAAAACAAATGGTGTACAAATAGCATTTGACTTGCATCATAATAATCAATTAAGTGTCAAAGTTAATCAAGTTAATGCCAAGCGTTAGTAGAAAGTTCCCTTTAACTTAAATTACATCTGTTTTAGTGGTTCAAGTTTCATATAACCCTTATGTATCTAATAGTTATGCAAATCAAAATATGTCCAGTAAATGAAAATGTTATCTGACCAATACAAGAAAAGATATTTCACTTTTTGTGATTTTGTAACATGGGCTCTATGGAGAATCAACCCGAACTAGAAGTCACACTTTCAAAAATAATTAAATTTTCAAACTTGATAAACAATTTTCGCATCTAGTCAATTGGTTGGGTAAAAACACACCGAATGCACATTTGAGTTTACTATTTGTAAATTTTTATCCAGGACATCGATGCATCAATCTAGGAAAAACATTTGTAATTATCTATGGATATAAACTCTTGACTCAATGTTGAATTACTTGAAGGTGTTGCTTTCCAAAATTAGGACGAGATCAATTTCAATTTGTAGAGTCAAGTTGTCACCTTAGCAACCACATATGAAGTGACATTGGATGCGGTGATTGGTGATGTAATGCACTGCAGTCTATGTTCGGATTGGCTGGAATCGGCCATACATTGCCAAGTTGTGTGAAAAAAGTATGTATAATTTAAATCATTGACGATTCCAATGTATAAAACCTCGATGTCTATCTTCTCATTGTACCCTCAAACTTTAAGCTTTATACTTTTTAAAAATATATAACTCAATGGTGATATTCCCCAGCAACAAGGGGGTCTTCAACATATAATTGGTTCACAGAAAGACAATTTACGAACACTTTCTTTTGGAGCTGTCACTTTCTAATATACCGTATGGCCTTTCCGTCCGCCACCGTCAAACAGATAGTTTTACAGCAAAATTAACTCTCCCCTCACATGAAGAAAAAGATGAATGTCCAAAAGTATCCACACTTTGGCGAACGGTGATCCCATATTACTCATGCGACAGCTACTTTAGTGAATTTGCAACCATGAGCTTTCTTGGTATTGCTTGCATCTTTGAGCTAGCTATGTTCACACTATTTTCGTAAACTCGAGTGTTTTCTTCCTCTTGTTAAAAGGAAGTCAAAATAGGCTCATATTTGAGATCAGGGATATGCATGGTAAGAACTATCTATCCCCAGTATCCCCATAAGATACTGCGTGGATGTTGTAGTTCCCCATATACGTTTTATTGTTTGAATTACGTCGTTCATTGTTCCTTGAGCGTTTAACAGTTTGACTGTTTCCGTGATTCACTTCTAAACACTCGATGAAAAGTCTCTTCCGCTCCTCTCCCGCATACAGTACTTTCTTGATATTCAGATGACCTTTGTCGACGGCATTTCTGACAAAGCCTTTCGTCCAGAACATTTGCCTTTCCACGTTCATACTGCATGCCAGTTTTTGTAGTTCAAAGAGTGCGTCTTTTTGTTCCGCAACTTCATTAATTGTGTTTGCCATGATACCAATCAGCATATTGAACATCAATATTGTTACAATGATAGTAAAAGCTATATAGCTCATGATCAAATACAAATTACTTAATGCATTAGTACCGGATGCAATAAGTGAATTAAAATCAGCCATTCCAACCATTACTTTATAAGTGGTTAGAACAGTATCTCCATATGTTGCAACGTCAGACATACGATATGCGTCGTCGTAGAGCAAATAGAACGCCCCCGTGAATCCAAAAAACATTCCGACGACCGTTAGAAGAAATCTGACGACGTCCCCAAAAAGCATCTTCATAACGGTAAGAATGTAAAACGAAGTATATTCGAAATTGCGAAGATAAATTGTAAAGTAGAGACAACATGTCTGAATTGCAATGGAACCAGTCATGTGACTGTTCCCTAATCCGGCCAAATACTGAAATGATGTGTAGAACAATGCGACCGAGAAAATGATGTAAATCAAAGCGAATGATCCAGTTCCAGTGACGATGTTGAATTGTCGCTCCAATATTTCACGCCACGATAGATGGAGGCGTCTAGCTTTTATTATTTGGTATAATAAGTGTATGATTTCTTTTAGAAATGATACGATGCCGTATGCTAGGAAAAAGCAATCGTTCACAAATATAAAATTTCTTGCGGCATTTTCACTTAAACTTGAACCTGCAATTACAGATGCGGTTCCATTGTAAATCATTGTGCCATTATTCCTTTCTCCCCTAATTATGACTCGTTGAACAGAGTTAGCATTTAACCAGATCATCAGAAACATATGCCAAACCATGGATACGATAAATGGCTTCATGTTTGCACTGTTACGCAACGAGAGCAATTTTCTAAAGGGATGTTGAGAAAAGATATTAGGAAATCGAAGAGTACCAGAACTTGTTCCGATATAATACATCCCTGGCGCACCTGAAGAAATATTTCCATCTACGGCTTTTATACTTTCTATACAGCTGATGTCATATTCAACGAATGATGTAGATGAACCATAGCGAAAGGTCTCCCTTTTCAATACCTGGTTCAAAATAACATGGATGAAGTGGTATTCTGTTTTTCTGAAAGCCATGGCCATAGGAGTCTCTTCGCGACCATCTCTCATTTCCAAGAGGCATTCAAGCGCCTCCCTTCCACCATCAGCGGATAGAATCATTTTAATCACTCCATGGACGAAGTCATTTACTTCTTCTGTCGCATCATCCGACAAGTTCACCAGGCAATGTAACATGTTCTGTCGTTTTGAGTCGGTATGATACAGAACACGTGGATTGATCTCGAACAAAAGGCGAACCATGTCGATGTTGCGAGACCAACAGGCTAGAAAAAGAGGAAGTTCAAATCCATCAAAGGTGCCTTTAAAGAATATCCCCGTCGCTTTACTGGCCGAAAGCATGTTAAATTCATCAGGATTTCCCGCTATGATTTTGACCATATCAGGCATATCGTGTACAAGTGCATGATGTAAAGAGCTCCCACCTTTGAATGTTTTGGTTTCCAATGGCCCAAAATTTCTTCCCCCAAGCTCCAATAATTTAAGCGCTAAACTTTTATTTCCTTTAAAAATCGCGTATTGAAGAAGTGACATCCCATTCGAGTGCATAAGTCGCTGGTCCTGAAGATCAACCAACTTCCCTTCCTTGACCATTAATTCGAATTCCTCTATGCTGCGTTGTAAAAGCTCTGCATGGGAGTCTTCTATGGCGTTTACCAGTTTGTCTCGAAGATTCATCACATTATTTTGTTTACCACATTCGACATCAAAACCAAGCTCTTGGTCGTTCATATTAAGCGTTTCTACCTTGATAATACGAATAGAAGTTGTGACCTCGTTATTCGGTCCAGTCGCGAGGGAACAATCACCCTTTGTTGTCTTCTCGCCTGCTGTCATATTTGACTATTATACGCTTACGTGATGTAACAGTACAATGTAGAGTGGATGATGCTACATGCCGGAAGATTCCATCACATGCAATTCACGTGATTTATAATTTCAACGTCAATTACCGGCGTGACTAATAATAAAGTCATTGCAATTAACTTGGCCCATTGTATCAGATTTCTTCTACACTGCTTAATGGCCCTTTATTCTGCGTGGTTCATAATTAATCGATCCTTTAATTTAAATCAGCCTATGATTAACAGAGAAGAAAGTTGTTATGCGATGTCGAAAATTGATCATGGCTACAAGAGTACACGACACGACACCACTCGGATATTTATTTAATTGTTCAGGTTTAATTTGAATAGAAAGTAATTTCATTCTTTCATTTGGAAGTATCATTGATGGAATCAATAGCCATAGACCAATGTTGAGGTACAACAATAATACTCATATCGGGCCCAATGCAAGGTGGCCAATCCAAATTTTAAATAAACTCTAAATGGTGAAACAGAGTCAACAAAAGAAAGGACACCGGGAGTTGATAAACATGTTGAGCCTACATGACATCAAATTTGAAAACTCTGGTCATGTTTTGAGCTTTATTTGTTAAATGCCCAAATTATATTGATTAATAATTACTATAATGTAAACGATTATACTGTTCATTTTGTGATTAGTGAAGTTATACTATTGTGTAAAATTACGTAACGTTATTATGATTATGCACTTCCTTAATGTGCAAATAAACTTATGGCAAACGAATCTAAATGTATCATGTTAAAGGTCGCCGTGTAAAGTTAGAAAATATGTTTTTATCATTAATTCACTATCTGTCATGACTTTAAAAGTAGCTTTTCATTTCGAATGAACCATACATTTCAAAAATTATTATATTTTTATTCCAATGCAAAGATTGAACAAAGGACAGACTATTTCAATAATAAAATTCAATATCTAATGTGCCACTTCAATGTTTTAGCATACCAAAAATGCAATATCCAAATTTCTTAGCTTTGAAGATTTAGAATTTAGATTAAGAATATCTTAAAAATCAAAATAGAAGAGACAGAGACGAGTAGGTTTTTGTCTCAGTTTTTTGTTGTTGTTACCATCATTCAATGTCAGGCCTGTTTAATTACCACATGCATTGTTCTAAGTTTTATAAATATAGAATAATCCTTTGATTTGATACCTGGCAAACAATGAAAAGGTGTCCTCAATCTTCAACAAGTTCAATTTTTGCTCTATTATCTCAATATTTTTTTCGATCAGAAAATGAAATTGAGATTGTATATACCGGTGTAAAAGAAATTATGGTCCCCTGGGGACTATGGTCCCCTTTCTTAAAGGCCCTTACTGGCCCTGATTGTGGATACGATAATAAGGCAAAGAGTTGTTTTTAGGTCACCATATAAATAAATGGAAAGTAGGACCATAATTTGATAGGACCTCCTACCCTTTTACACCTGAAACACGCATATACTTAATAAAGACTACTTCCAAAGTTTGACTTTCTGCATATACATCCGTGCTCATTTGCTGCGAAACAGAGCTAGATTCATTTGATTGATGAGAACAATGGACGTGGAAAATAATGCTAATGGCAAATATAGATTAAACACCATAATAGACACCGTATAATTTTGAGTTTTCAAACTTGCTCAGATCAATTTGTCTAAGTTTTACTTAATTCTTTCAATTATCTTTCAACTTGTCTATTTCCTCACTGCTCCATCGATTAGACGCTTTTCCTTTCTGAATTTTGATATATACTATGCGCCACCTATCTTTTCGAATCCCAAAACACGCTTTGGTATGTTTTCTTGTACTTTGGTCAGTTATTACTTCATCTATTACATACGGCCATATCATAAACAATTGCCTCATTATTCACAAGTACTTTAAATATTATTCAGTACATTAAAACCCGTTCAAGTGGAATACCATTGATACCCCAAATAGTGTTCCACTTGGAATGTGTTCCACGTGGAACACTATTATTTAGTACATTAAAACCCGTTCAAGTGGAATACCATTGACACCCCAAAAATTGTTCCACTTAGAATGTGTTCCTAGTGGAATACTATTATTTAGTACATTAATACCCGTTCAAGTGGAATACCATTGATACCCCAAATAGTGTTCCACTTGGAATGTGTTCCTAGTGGAACACTATTATTTAGTACATTAATACCCGTTCAAGTGGAATACCATTGATTCCCCAAATAGTGTTCCACTTGGAATGTGTTCCACGTGGAACACTATTATTTAGTACATTAAAACCCGTTCAAGTGGAATACCATTAATACCCCCAAATAGTGTTCCACTTGGAATGTGTTCCATGTGGAACACGTTCATGTTCATTTTATATTAAGTTAATGCATGATATGGGACTTGAACAGGTGTTTAACTTACGGAGGCGTACCATGTTAAAGGTTCTTCTCTAAGATACATGCCACTATCATTGACATTTGATTTCACTGAATAGTAATTGTTTATTCGTCATCTTTAATCAATGAAATCTGAAATTATTACGTTTTATTTGCCAATTAATGTAATGTTTTAATCTCGTTTCGTGCGACTCAACCACTTTTTGATACTTATCGCGTCTCTTGCCTTACAATTCCTATATTTCCACAATTAATTTACAAGCTATTGATAGGCCATGATGAAATATACAAACAATGCGAATGTTCATGACTATAATAATGTTTTGGAAAAAGCAATAACATGAGTTCAGAATTCTTGATTTGTCTCAGAATAGAATCTTTTATGATATACAATTGTTGACCGCTAATTGACCAATCAGATGCGAGTATTTACACTTAGGTACTTACAATACTAGATTATCCGGTATAAATGTGTACTTTATTCTGGTTCAAATACCTTGTTAAAGTGTTTATAGTAAACAAAGTACGATTTATTGCATGTCTGATGTAAACACATCCATCTAGGATATAAAATGTGTGGTTATTGAAAACCAAAAACACCAAAATTCAGTGAACACATGGTGCTAGCTATGGTCTACTCAGTCTATTCAGTACTGTATATTTATGTACATTCAAGAAAGCGTTGAGTTTTCTCAATTATGACGGGATTTTTCTCTAATACTTTTTAGTGTGTACATATTAATCAATCCAGTCGTAAAGTTATGGAGATAATATAGTATCTATACCCCCCCCCCAACTCTCCTTTTCATTAACATCTCATCCTCCGATCACAGGGCTTCAAAATCCAGAATATATTCTTTCTTTTTACGGAAGACGGAGATACGGTTTCTGGATACCTGCTTAGGAGGATGTAACATCTAGGATCAAAATATTTTGTCTTGTCTTGGGTAAACGGAGTAGGTGACGCATTCTTTTGTGTTTGCGTCAGAGGCAAAATTATAATACGGTAATTTTAATATAAAACTATTATACACTTTATCGCTAAGCAAGTCTTGTGCCTCCGGGGAGGGGGGTAGGGCTACAACTACCTAAGCCTGTTTTAACAAAGACTGCAGCATAAAAGTAGTAGGATCTAAGACTGAGTCTTCGAAATAATTGTTGTTTACTTATGCACATAGTATATATGTATAGTCTGGTGACTGCTCGTTGCGGACGAGTCCGGTATTGTCCAAACCTTTCGGAATATCGCAGATGCGAGTAGGTAGTTACCAGATTCACCACCAGCTGGCTCGTTCGGGTCAGATAGCATGGCGGGTATAGTAGAATGTTCCCTTTAACTTAAATTACATCTATTTGCGTGGTTCAATTTTCATATAACCCTTATGTATCTAATAGTTATGCAAATTAAAATATGTCTAGTAAAAGAAAATGTCATCTGTCCAATACAAGAAAAGATAATTCACTTTTTGTGATTTTGTAACATGGGGTCTATGGGGAATCAACCCGAACAGAAATCACATTTTCAAAAAAAAAAAATTTCAAAGTTGATAGACAATTTTCGAAACCATATTTCTAGGTGTACTTTTACATGCAGATTTCAAATATGACATCGCTTTGACTGAATTTTGAATATTTAATTACGTAAATCAATATTATTTCTACTCGCATCTAGTCTATTGGTGGTTCATGATCAATAAGCAGTGGTTCCCTTATTCCTTGTGTTCATTTTAATATAAAAATAAGTACTATACACTTTATCGTTAAGTACATTTTAGGCATCATGGGATACAACTTCCTAAAGCAATTTTTCACAAAGCAGTATACAGCATACATGTAAAAGGCAGAGTGAGATAGATATACATGATAAACAAATGATTTTTGTCTACTTATAGGCTGGTGGCTGCTCATTGCAGACGAGTCCAGCATAGTCTGCGCCTGTTGGTGGTTGATAGTTAATAAGCAGTGGTTCCTTGTGTTACTTTCAATGTGAAATAAAATTGAGTCAGTCTAAGTCTTTAAATACATGATTTCAGTCTACTTATAGGCTGGTGGCTGCTCATTGCGAACAAGTCCAGCATTGTCTGCGCCTGTTGGTGGTCGATAATTGATGGGAAGTGGTTCCTTGTTCCTTGTAATAATGTAGTATAATCCAGCGCCATCTTTATAAAGATCCCATAGCTCTCCATTATATTCTACCCATTGCTCTTTCTCAAGGTAGAGTCCGGGGCAATCTGGGGATTCCCTGGCGGCCAGTCTTCTTTCGGCCTTTCTGAAAATAAAATGATCAATAAAAATATATCTTAAAGAGTGTCATTTATTATTACAAGAAAGTAAAACTATTCTCAAAAGACCAAGTATGTCGTTACAAATGGAATCAGGTAGCCATATCATTGTATGGCTATATTTTAACATTAATACAATTTTTTTAACAAATGTCTTGATGCTCAAATTCTAGATTAAATGTTAAATGAACAGTAAATTTAACACTTTAATTTAACAACTTTATCCTACTAACATTGTACAGTGTCTTACACTTTCCTTCATACGCTTGGCAACTCTATCTCCCCATTTAATTACATGCTAACGCTTATTGATATTTGAATTATAGTTGCTTAGTCTTTAAAGAAAATACTACTTTTAGTGCTTGAAATATAAATTGACATCATTTCGAAAACCTTTTTTTCAACAATAACAATAGGTCGGATATTGATCACAAATCAGATGTAAATTTCAAAATCGGCATCTCCATGTTAATATAAACCAATATTGGAACTGATAGGTTTGTCGCAAGGCATATGACAGGATATCCACCTATCCGAGTTCTCGCAAAAACACACAAGTTCGGTAGAAAATTGATTAAACTTTGTTTAACAAAAAAGATATGTTACTTCACGTTCAACAAAGTTATAGGTCTCCAAAGTCAAAATTATTTTCAAGAAACCCCTCCCATTGAAATAATAGAGGAGGGGAAAAGGCATCGGACAAGAAGTCAAGTAACATTTTCACCTTTATCATAATAAGTATTTTCATTGCTGGTTATGTAAATAAAAAATCAAACATAGAAAGGCTTTAACACGTGGTCCAATGATTGAGTTAAGCTTGCCAAACCTATAGAGGGGAGTGTAACATTGAAATCCATTAAAACAAGGCATCCAGTGACGATGTATCTTTATTCCTAGACATAATATTCACAAGAAATCTCCCTCATCATCATTGAGGTGTTTATCAATGTATTGATATGCAAGGTGTGGATCAAGGATCATTTCAAGATGTAAAAGAAATATTCAGAATCTCGATCCCCACCCTTATCCCTGTATTACTGAATTGAGGTGTTGATCAACGTTTAGATGCAACGTGTGGTTCATTTTCAAGGTGTGTATTTGTCAATATACAGTTGCATTTGTTTATAAAATCCTATTTCATCGATGCTTGATCCATGCTTGGCCTATGGTAGATCAATGCCTTGTTACTCGTAAAACTAGGATTGCGACATTACATTGAAACCCAATGAATATTTTTGTGAGAGTCTTAGTGTTTGCTTGCACCTAAACGTAAACATAGATTTTAATGGCTGTCCTATATCGGAAGTCGCGATCACTTTTTAAACCGCTGGTGTATTATAATCTAACCTAATATAAAATAGTTACGATACCTTCTTGCTGCATCATCAATGCAAGCACGGATACAATACGATATCAATCCAATGGGTATTATGATACACACCATCTTGTTCGAACCTGCAAAATGTTTAACGTTAGTTAAAACACAGACAAGGAAGTAAATGTGAAATTGTTACAGTTTATATGGAACTCGATGCGCAGTTGCTTTATTCATACTTAATATTCTTTTAAAAGTTTCAATATGACGGCATATTGAGATGCATGAAAGCCCTTACAATAAATCTAAGCAAAGTACATATATTTTAGCTTCTGAGATATAATAATCGGAATCGAGTGACCGTTTCGTGTTTTTACAATTCTCCCTGATATTCTTAGTGTTCTGGGTTTTAAACGTCAGCAGAAACGAATATTCACAATCACATGAGAATCGAATGAATTAGATAACTGACTTTTGGAAACGTGTCTCCTGCTAAATATTATTTTGTTTTGTTCTTCAAACGGGTGGTCGTGCATTTTACTGTCAAGATAAATGAATGTATTGTCTAAAATTCATACCCGAATCTACGGTTAGCAAAATATGTTATTCCCATAGATGTAAGTCTAGCAAATCTGGCAAAATGTTGCGTTTTTTTAAATTTAGTTTAAGAGCAAGCAGTGTTCGCTACTTATTTTTCTGAAGAGGTGCGCATGCCTTATATAATTATCAACCACATTTTTCAGATAAATTTTGCGCATGCGCCTGAAACGCGTGTAGAAATCAAGTACAGGGTGGTCTAAAAATGGGACACTCGTATTTTGAAAATATATATTGATTTTCTTGATGAAAACATGACATATTATATACCAGTGGATAGGGAATTTACTATCAGGATGGTCCAAAATCAACATAATTGGATCATCCGATGTCAATGTCTGCGACTACCGTGTTTTTGGAGAACTAACAGAATTTGTTTACCATGGACCCCTTACATCTACTCAGTCCCTTATCGACAGAATAATTGAGAAGTTGAATTCACTGTCTCAATAGCATGTCAATGATGCATTTGACCAGTTTAGACCAAAATTGAGGGGTTTAATTGATCAAAATTGTGGACATATTGAGCGTCTGTTTAAGTAAATCAAGTTGACAAAAAACTTGGTTTTTGCAAGTCTCGGAAAACCTGTTTTGAAATGAAAATGACGTCATTTATATTATGGACGCTGGTTGACAGACATTATAATAAATTTGAACTCATGGTATACCAAATTAAAGATGAGTAAATTCCCTATCCACTGGTATATAATATGACATGTTTTCATCAAGAAAATCAATATCTATTTTCGAAATACGAGTGTCCCATTTTTTGACCACCCTGTAGATATATATGTAGTTTATTGGTCTCTTGAAAACAATCAATTTCCGTGGAAAATCCAATAGAGCGAACAAATGATAAAACAAAAATAAAGATTACATATTAAAATACTGTATGTGTGTATTAATATATTTATGATTTGTAATTGAACCAACTGCAATAAATAATAAAACAGTCGGAAAAATTTGATTAACAAAAACCCACTTATAATCAGCAGTTTACAAATGTTTCCATGAGAGAGGACATCACGGCACCTTGTAACAAGACATCACTAAAGTCTGTTTCACTGCATCAAAGGCAAACAGTTAAATCTGAAATATAAGAAATCTAAATAATATTGTGCAATAATATACATGTATAGAAAAATATATTCATATTGCACACGAATGACATTTGTTTATGTTGGATTGCTTGTAAATTGGATTATAAAGTCTGTAACCTCCTCTATTTTGATGTTTCTCAACCATGTTAATTCTCAAAAAATAACATGGCAGACAGACCTCAAATTACAAGAGGGCACAGGCTTATTGCACTAAACACTAAATAATTATAGGATATCCTATGATTTTGAGGAATATCATTTTTATCTACGAGGTTGATATTGATATCTGCACGAGAGAGCGAAGCGAACGAGTGCATATATCAATATCACCGAGTAGATTAAAATGATATTCTGAAAAAAATCATAGGATGTTCTTATTATCCTACACTTACAAGGAGTGTACTGAATGTATAATATCATTGTAAAATTAATTCCATGCCAAATAGAGTCAATTTGGCGGGAAATCAACAAGCGGAGTATATCGTCACAATATCCTCCGCATATTGGGTTTTCCGGAGTATATCGTCACGATATCCTCCGCCCGGAGTATATCGTTACGATATCCTCCGGATATTCATTTTGCCAATAAATATCAAATTTATTTTTTCATGTTATTATACATTTAGTACACTAAGTGTAGGATAATCTGAAATATACAAATGTCATTCGTGTGCAATATGAATATATTTTTCTATATATTATGACACATACTCTAAGAGCGAGGAGGAAAATTCTTAATAAATGGAGTATAGTTGGTTTGGCAGCATTTTCAGTTAGAAGGAAGTCTTGGATGAAAATTCTACCTAGGTGATAGCTTCACAGAGTGGTACATAATTCTTTTTTTTCAGGGATTAGACCCCCACCCCCCAAAAAGACCCCACCCCGGGAAAATAATTTTTTCATTCTTGATAACTTTAGATATCTTGATGTTTGTAAGTTACATACATAGACATTATATATATGAATCATTTGCATAATAAATAATGCCAATCACTCCTACAGAATTTGAATAATAGTACAAAGTATGTACCCCAGGGGGCAAATTCGTGACCCATTTTCTTACTTTTTAGAGCCTCACTTTTGATTCAGACACTGGAAGACATTGGGAAAATTCATGTGAAGTGCTCAGTAGCATGGCTATAAGCCCTGAAAGGTTCAAACTAATTGAATCAGTAGGAACCAAGAAAAAAATTGTTGATTTTTTGAAAATTTTGACATTTTTGAGAGGAGTGATTTTGGGTATGACTATAGCTGATGCCTATGGTTTCTATATCTATCCCTCTTTGATTATAAATATGGTTTTAAAGTATTGAACTAAGATGTAAAAGATAATTAAAATAGGTTTACAGGAAGTTTAAAGTTTTAAACAAGTTCAAAATTCGAAGAATTGTACAATATCAGGTCTGAATTTACGAATTTTAGGTAAGACCTTGGGTGAGCCTTAGATTTTTCACATCTGTCCCACTTTGATGATATTTATAGTTTTGTAGTGTGGAACTTAGATGTACAAAATAATTAAGATGGTTTTTAAAAAGGTTTAAGTGTTTTAATAAGTCCAAAATTTGAAAAATTGTATAATATCAGGTCTGAATTTGCGAATTTCAGGTAAGACCTTGGATTAGCCTTATATTTTTTACATCTGTCCCACTTTGATGGTATGTATAGTTTTGTAGTGTGAAACTAATATGTAAAAAATGACTTAGATGGATTTGAGGAAGGTTTAAGGATTTAAATGAGTTCAAAATTTGAAGAATCGTACAATATCAGGTCTGAATTTACGAATTTAAGGTATGACCTTGGATGACCCTTATGATTTTTATATCTGTCACTCTTTGATGATATTTACGGTTTAATAGTAATGAACTAAGATGTAAAATATAATTCAGATGAATTTTAAGAAGGTTTAAGGATTTTAACAAGTTCAAAATTTGAAGAATTGTACAATATCAGGTCTGAATTTACGAATTTCAGGTAAGACCTTCGATGAGCCTTATATTTGTTACATCTGTCCCTCTTTGATGATATGTATTGTTTTGTAGTGTGAAACTAACATGTCAAAAATAATTAAGATGAATATAAGGATTTTCACAAGTTCAAAATTTGAAGAATTGTACAATATTAGGTCTGCAATTAACACATTTCAAGTATAACCTTGGTTAGTTCTTATGTTTTTTACACCTATCCCTTTTCATGATATACATGTATTTGGTTTAGTAGTTTAGAAATAATATGTATAACATAATTTGGATGGGTTTTAAAAAACTTAATGTTTGAAACAAGTTCAATATCTCGGCGAATTGTACAATATCAGATTTGAAATCAACAGATTTCAAGTATAACCTTTGTTGGCCCTTATGTTTTTAACATCTACCCCTTTTTGATGATATATATGGTTTAGTAGTGTGGAACTAAGAGGTAAAACATAATTAAAATGGGTTTTAAGGAGGTCTAAGGTTTTAAACAAGTTCAAAACTTGACAATAAATTGTACAATATCAGATCTAAAATAAACGAATTTCAGGTATAGCCTTGGATGAGCCTTATGTTTTTTACATAAATTTCTCTATGATAACATATATGGTTTTGTAGTATGGAACTAAGATGCAAAACATAATTAAGATGGGTTTTAATTAAGTTTTAGGTTCCAAAGAGGTTCAAAACTTGACAAATTGTACAATATCAGGTCTGAAATTAACAAATTTCAGGTATAGCTTTGAATGATCCTCATGTTCTTTTCATTCTAAACCTCTTTGATGATTTACATGGTTCTGTATTGTACTACTAAAATGTAAAACATAATTCAGGAATTTGGGGTTTTAAGGAAGTTCAACCCTAATGTCTCCAGGGGGGGGGGGGGGGTCAAATTGACCTACCACTCTGTTTTTTAAATGGTACATTTTGCAAGTCTTTTCTTCTGCCATCATTATTATTTTTCAGGTATAGCCTTGGATGAGCCTTATGTTTTTTACATATATCTGATATGATAACATATATGGTTTTGTAGTATGGAACTAAGATGTAAAACATAATTTAGATGGGATTTAAGGAAGTTGTAGGTTCTAAAGAGGTTCAAAACTTGACAAATTGTACAATATCAGGTCTGAAATAACGGCAACTCCGCGGAGTAGCAAATCCCAACGAACAAAATATCAATTACCGAATTCCAATCAATTATACTCATTACTTTGGTTGAAAATGAAAAAATTAGATTTTAGAATTCCAAATTCCTGCAAAGCAGCCATTTTGAATTTTCTGAGGTACAAATCTGAAAAATAATACCATAATTGTGATCTACTCCAAAATTCCTTCAATTTGAGTATAATATAGCCATACTTTGAAGGGATCGAAAAATTATTGCGAAATCATACATTAGACGGCCATTTTGAATTTTACGAGGCTCGAATCAGAAAAAAGATACAATATTTGCAATCTACTCTTAAATGCCTTTCATTTGAGTATAATAAAGCTATACTTCAGAAAGATCTAAAAATTAGCGAAAATTTCTGTTTTCCTGTCCCCCCATACATGGCTCCTGGGGGTCAGGATGAAAAACACAGAATATATGTGAAATAGATAAATGTTGTGAATACACTACCAAAATTTCAAACACTAATATTAATTACTTTTGTTTAGAATGAAAAATTTATGATTTTTGCGAAAAAGTCCCATCATTTTTAAAGCGGCGGCCATCCATTTTTTTTGCGTAAAACTATTAACCAATTTACATCTTTCCACTAAATATGAAGAAAATCTGTCAACTAGTATTTGAGTTATCCTCCGGACATCTTGTAATATATAGATACAGACGGACGGACTGACTGATTGACGGACTGACAGACTGACGGACGGACGGACGGACGGAGGGCTTCACTATATCCCTAACGAACTTCGTTCGTTGGGATAATTAACAAATTTCAGGTAAAGCTTTGAATGATCCTCATGTTCTTTACATTCTAAACGTCTTTGATGATGAACGTGGTTCTGTATTATAGGACTAAAATGTAAAACATAATTTAGGAATTTGGGGTTTTAAGGAAGTTTAACCCTAGTCTGAAGTAGCAATAAACAATAAGTAAAAATAAATAAAAACCTCCTTAAAACTCCAAATTTCTAGATTTTGTTTTACATTTTAGTTCCACACTACAAAACCATGTAAATCATCAAAGAAGTTAAGAATTTCAGACCTAATATTGTACAATTTGTTAAGTTATGAACCTCTTTCAAACCTTAAAGAGAGAATCAGATCTAGCAAGCAGCCTTACAAAAAATGTTTAAATTTTTGAATATTGCTGGGTTATGTCATTCCTTTTCATGTCTATTTGCTAGTTATCCCCAAAGTGCACACTTTATTTCACATCGTGAATCTTTTTAGAGATATTGTATTTGAGATTATAAGGAATAGATTGGTAGGTGAATTGTACATGTTGCTTGTAATTTTGTCATCCCATGGATCTGATTCTGCCTTTAAACTTCCTTAAAACCCATCTAAATTATGTTTTACATCTTAGTTCCATACAACTAAACCATATATATTATCATAGAGATATATACCTGAAATTCATTAATGTCAGATATGATATTGTACAGTGTATCAAATTTTGAACAGGTTTAAAACCATAAACCTCCTTAAAACCCATCTAAATTATGTTTTACCTCTTAGTTCCACACTACTATATATTACCAGCCATATATTATATCATCAGAGGGATAGATGTAAAAAAGGAATAAGGGCCATCCACAGTTATACCTAAAATTAATAAATACCAGACCTGTTATTGTACAATTCTTCAAATTTTTAACTTGTTTAAAACCTTAAACTTTTTTAAAACTTGTCTAAATTATGTTTAACATCTTAGTTCAACACTACTAAACCATATATGTCATCAAAAAGGGATAGATGTAAAAACACAAGGCTCGTCCAAGAAGGTAATACCCAAGATTCATTAATATCAGCTCTGATATTGTACAATTCATCAATATTTGAACTTGTTTAAAACCTTAAACTTATTTTAAACCCATCTTAATTATGTTTTACATATTAGCTCCACACTACTAAACCATATCATCAAAAAGGGATAGATGTTAAAAATATACGGGGCAAGCAAGGTTATACTTTAAATTCTTAATTTCAGATCTGATATTGTACAATACGCCAAGATTTTGAACTTGTTTAAAACGTTAAGCTTCTTTAAAACCCATATAAATTATGTTTAACACATTTCCACACTACTTCACCAAATATATCATGAAAAAGTGATAGGTGGAAAAAACATATGGGCCAACCAAGGTTATACTTGAAATTCATTAATTGCAGACCTGATATTGTACAATTCTTCAAATTGTTAAAATCCTTAAACCTTCTTAAAATGCATCTGAATTATTTTTTACAACTTAGTTCCACACTACAAAACCATACATATCATCAAAGAGGGACAGATGTAAAAAAATATAAGACTCATCGAAGGTCTTACCTAAAATTTGTAAATTCAAACCTGATATTGTGCAATTCTTCAAATTTTGAACTTGTTAGAGAATCCTAAACCTTCTCAAAATTCATCTAAATTATATTGAACATCTTAGTTCCATACCATAAAACCATAAACATCATCAAAGAGGGACAGATGTAAAAAAAAGGGTCGTCCAAGGTCATACCAGAAATTTGAAAATTCAAACCTGATATTATACAATTCTTCAAATTTTGGACTCATTAAAATCCTTAAACACTCTTCAAAACCATCTTAATCATTTTTTACCATCTTAGTTCCACACTACAAAAAAACAATACATATCACCAAAGAGTGACAGATGCAAAAGTATAAGGCTCATCCAAGGTCTTTCCTGAAATTCGTAAATTCAGACCTGATATTGTACAATTCTTCAAAATTTGAACTTGTTAAAATCCTTCAACCTTCTTAAAATTCATCTAAATTATATTTTACATCTTAGTTCCGCACTAAAAAACCGTGAATAGCAAAAAACTGTAAAAAATGTAAAAAACATAAGGGTCCTCCAAGGTCATACCTGAAATTCGTAAATTCAGACCTGATATTGTACAATTCTTCAAATTTTGGACTCATTTAAAATCCTTTAACCTTCTTCAAATCCATCTAAATTATTTTTTAATCATTAGTTTCACACTACAAAACCATACATATCATCAAAGAGGGACATACATAAAAAATATAAGGCTAATCCAAGGTCTTACCTGAAATTCGCAAATTCAGACCTGATATTGTACAATTTTTCAAATTTTGGACTTATTAAAACACTTAAACCTTTTTAAAAACCATCTTAATTATTTTGTACATCTAAGTTCCACAATACAAAACTATAAATATCATCAAAGTGGGACAGATGTAAAAAATCTAAGGCTCACCCAAGGTCTTACCTAAAATTCGTAAATTCAGACCTGATATTGTACAATTCTTCGAATTTTGAACTTATTTAAAACTTTAAACTTCCTTCAAACCCATTTTAATTATCTTTTACATCTTAGTTCAATACTTCAAAACCATATTTATAATCAAAGAGGGATAGATATAGAAACCATAGGCATCAGCTATAGTCATACCCAAAATCACCCCTCTCAAAAATGTCAAAATTTTCAAAAATTCAACAATTTTTTTCTCGGTTCCTACTGATTCAATTAGTCTGAACCTTTCAGGGCTTATATCCCTGCTACTGAGCACTTCACATGAATTTTTCCAATGTCCTCCAGTGTCCGAATCAAAAGTGAGGCTCTAAAAAGTAAGAAAATGGGTCACGAATTTGCCCCCTGGGGTACATACTTTGTACTATTATTCAAATTCTGTAGGAGTGATTGGCATTATTTATTATGCAAATGATTCATATATTATATATAATGTCTATGTATGTAACTTACAAACATCAAGATATCTAAAGTTATCAAGAATGAAAAAATTATTTTCCCGGGGTGGGGTCTTTTTGGGGGGTGGGGGTCTAATCCCTGAAAAAAAAGAATTATGTACCACTCTGTGAAGCTATCACCTAGGTAGAATTTCCATCCAAGACTTCCCTCTAACTGAAAATGCTGCCAAACCAACTATACTCCATTTATTAAGAATTTTCCTCCTCGCTCTTAGAGTAACAATGGTCTGTAGATTTCTTATTTTTCAGGTTCAACTGCTTGCCTTTGAAGCAGTGTAACAGACTGTACGACTAAATTGAATCAAACAAACTGGATCAAAATCGGCAGTGTCATGCTCCAAGCAAAGACTTTGAAAGACACTCTGGGGAAAGAGCTAGTAATACAACTGAAAATATCTGATTCAGAAAAATGAGAAATATTTATACATATCGATTTAGAAATTTATAATAAGACTTCAAAATTATGCCTTTTTGTGGACACTTATCCTGTAAAAGTGTTTGATCAAGAATGCGCACATACATGTACATGCATATTAAGTTTTCTCCAGACTATATAACCAAGGAGTTAACGAAAATGGAAGTGTTGACTGTTCTTGACCTTGTATATACGTTTTTATCGGCGTCATATGTTTTGCAGGTGAATGGACTCATACCCACGTCGTTACCACGAATATTAACTTCTTGCACGATTGTAACAAATGTCATGTTCTCATCACATTTTAAAAATACTTATTATTGACTCGAAATAGTTGTCGGTAAGTCGCATATTTGATATGTAGTTATGAGGAATTCAGTACTGATTCAAATATTGAATTATTGTTAGAATTGTGTGGATGATCGGTTAAAATATCAAGTTTGGTTAAATAACTTAAACTTCTTCTAAGAGTAAATCCTGACAATTCTCCATTTCGCTGTTCGCTCTTTGAATCAGAACGTTCGCATATATGGTGCATATATGTACTCAAAAAGGACAAAATTTGATTGGTCAATATTTTTCAACGATGCATTTCGTGTAGCTATTTGTGAGACCCGAAAGTTCTAAATCAAATTAATTACGCAATTTTGTTTTTACACCCGCAAGCTAAATAAAAAAATGACACCATCGGAATTCTTCTTCTTTGTCATTGAATTAATAGTCAGTATACCAGATTTAATCAATAAAAGATTATACAATTAACAACAAAATTCGGAAACGAGTATGTAAGATTTGCTTTCGAACCACTAAACTTGACCTAGATAATAGCGACGTGTCTTCTTTGGTCAAATGCTCAGTTGTTTGTGGGTTTTCAACGTAACTCTATAATGTAATATGAAGATGAGTACTTTTATTCAGTTGTTGCATCGATGTTACAGTTTGTAGTGCGGTAATATTGGCATGAACGTGTTGAAAGTCGAATGGAATTGCTTTTTCCAATATGGCGACTAGTCACGTGACTTCTTCTCTTCCGGAATATACTCCCATTTTCAATCATTGTTTTCACCCCGTTAGGAGCCAATAAAATGAAAAAAAATATATGTTATATAAAGATTATTAAAAGACTAATTGTTTCTGATAGTTTGTTTTCTCCGATCGCATGGAGATTCGATCGAAAATATCGCTTGAAAAATGGGTATGAAAATCCCCATGTTAAACCAACGGGGAAAAACAAGGTAGAAAAATTTTGTTCCCCCGCGAACTGCATCATGGGAAATATTTTGACCTTATAAGGAAAAACTTTCGCGCCATCTTTATTAGAGATTCAATACTACCGAATCCGCGATTTTAAGAATTGTGTAAATCTTGCTCGGACGTATAAATAATATATACGTACCATATAATACATCATCATTAGTTAACCATGACGTTTTCTCGTATTACACTAATTGGTTAGATTGTTCTTTAAAATAATTTAAATCAATGAAATTAGAATAATATTCAATGAAATGAGATTTATTGTTAGATGATGAAGGCGCTTGTAATACTTGGTGTGTTCGCATGTGCGTTATCTGTTGGTGCAGACACGGCATGTAGAAACGCTGGCGGGGACTGCCAAACAACGACCTGTCGAGGAACCTGGAGGAGTGGCCTTTGCAACGGTCCCGCGAATAGGAGGTGCTGCATCGGTAGGTAGACCACTATCTTACATACATGTTACGCACACAAGAAAATAAAGTAGGCGTAAGTATGTACCGGAGAAAGAGGATAGTTTAGTTGAGTGTTGGTCATTTTGCATAACGATCAATGAAGGAAGAAGTAGTTGAGAATTGCTCCTTTGGAAGGAGCTATGACAAAAATTCCACACCTACAATTTAAACAAAACACATTCCCGTGTTAATGTAACAAAACCCAGACAATAGAAAAGCATATCTCTGTGGTTCTAACAAGTCCATGTACCATCACTTTTCACATATAGTGTACAATGTACATCAGGATGTCGCTAACTAAACTGAACTAAACTGAAGTTGATATTTTCCTATTATGTGAGTATGAATAGCAAATATAAATATTAATACAATTTTTGTTATATTGTCTCAAGAAACACAGCGTCTAACTTCTGGCAGTTCCAAATGTACATACATACATAAAATGTTATTATTTTCCATATAGACAAAATAAGTCACTCGGCGGCTAGGTCTATGCTGTCCCGAGAAGGCATTGGCATCAGCTCTAGTGGGAGATGCTCTAACAGGTACAATCTGTAAAGTAGCTGCCACACTAAGCCGCGCTTGCTCACCGTTCGCCACCGTTTGAATAATGTTGGGCATTCATTTTTTAATAAATTCATTAATTTTAGTATTCGGTGTGAGGGGAATGGAAAGGTTGTGCACGAAACAATGGAATTCCTTTATGTTTATTTGGTAACGAATATTTCAGGTACAATCCACGCTGCACGAGTCTAGAGCAAATACGACGTAAAACAATAACAGGCACCATCAACGAGCTCAAGAGACCAAGCAGGTAGTACAGCATTTTATCAATTTATTTACCTATATTGTAACCTATTTTACGTCTACAATTTCATTTGCGTTATTCATATTTTAAATGCTTTCATCTATAAAGTATAGCCCCTGGTCTAATTTTTCTAAGAGCGCTTGAAATGCAGTTATGTGGTAAAATGTGAAAAAATATGAACAAAAAGTTGTTTTTAGAAGGCAACCTTGTGTGACCCCATTTCAGAGGCAAAAGCTCCTGTTACAATTTTAATTTTTAAATTTTTATATTTCCTTTATTTCATAATACATCATACAAACAGATACAGGGCCTTCGCCGAAGCATTATTGGCCCTGTTGAAGTAGTTACAATATAAGTTAAAATAGGTCACAATGTAAAAATGATAGATATAGAACATATTTATGAACATGAAAATAATCTTGAAAACGTGAAGACAGGTTGATTGTTACAATCAAAACGAAATTATGACGTGCACGGACATGGGGACAATTCGGGAAATACGGGCTGAAATTTTGATGGGATCCACCATATTTTCAAAGTTAAATATACTCCGACATTGTCAAATACACTACGTAACACTTTACGCTTACACGGTTAGTTGAAATTGGGATAACTTTTGAAATAATGATCAGAATTCCACTAAAATGGAACATGTGCGTATCGGCTACAGTTCAAACTGTCTTACATGAACGCTTTTATAATTTTCAAAATTGAGTAAGGTTTTGAAGTCGAAGGGGACGAACAATAAATCTATTTTCATTTAACCTTCTAAATTAGTTCTGATTTGAAAAAAATTAACTGCACAATATTGTCACGGCGAAATTTTAAAAACAATAATCGGTTTGTTTATTTGGCAAATAATATAAAAATAAGAGCTGATTTTCAAGACTGACGCATCGATTTTTACCCCAAAGCCATACATATCAATGTTTACTAACGTCCCAAGTGGATTTCCTGAGTGTTTTTCAAAATTCAAAAACATTTTAGAAATATTGTACTCGAGATCTTGCTACCCTGTGAATTTTATCATGATTAGATAAGGATAAGTATTTTATTTTTAGTTTGACTAAACTTGAAAAAAATTTGACGCTCGTCGTTTTTGACGTTGTAAGGCTATTTGCGCGCTATACTGCTCATTGTTTTGTTTTTGGTATTTTGACGCCATTATGTTACGCTAATTGTCCCAAGGTTCGTGCGACATGAACATATAACTTCTTAAAGGCCCATTATACTTAATTTAGAAGCACAAAGAAAAAAATTATCATTGAAACATGTTACTCACACACTCGCTCAACTATGACACAACATTTTATTTGCTTTAATATTCAACCAAGAAAAAAATAACTCACATAGAAAAAATCATAAGAAGTTCAGAGATCATTAGTAGGGCATGCACATGTTAAATTAAGTGCATGTTCTAAATTTCTCTTGATCTAAAAGATGGCGACACTTCTAAAAAAATAAATGTATCATGTAATACAAACAACTTCGCCATCTTTCAATGACATTGATAAAAACTTGATATATAAAGCTTGACAGATAGAAATTATTTTTTTGCAATTTTTGATAATTTATTGTAAGCTTTGATGTGCTCAGTTTTAGCTGTTGTTAGTGTTAAATGAAAGATAAGGTTCTTGTAAATACATTGGACATATTATGAAATTCAGTTGAAAGTCTTTACAAAAACTTTGAAAATACGCAAAGTGGGTCTTTAATAACGGAAAATCAGTCTTTAAAACGGTATGTTCATTTTTTGTGGCGGAGTACCGGACAACAACATTTCCTTTTTTCGGAGCAGGTTCTAAGGGACTTACAACAACCAATTGTTTCTGAAAAATAGATTTACATGTGTCCTACTTTATTCCATTTCCATACATTTTAAGTCAGCCTCAATATTTATATTATTCAGGTGCCCAATGACAGTGACAGGAGGCACCGAGGTGGGGCATGCAAGGGGAACATACAGTCATTGGAACGGATTTAAGATCGACCTCGGTTTGAACAGTTGCCTTAACAACTACATCCGGGCCAATTTCCCATTCTACCGCATGAGAGGACGTTACCGAGTGTACCGGGCCAGGTCCGGGAACGAGTATTGTCTGGAAGGGAACCACTGGGACAACACATACTACTAGAATATATCTCCGGGAATATCAATAATTTGAAGAATGATTTAAAGTGAAATTTGTCTAATTTTCAAAATATAAATAAAAAAGCCATCGTAATATTGTTTATTGTACATTAGGTTTCTTTATATTGTATACAAATTATATGTTTTTGTTTTTGTATATTTTTATCGATTTTAAACATTTATTTTCCTTACTTTTCATGACCTACCACACTTTTAGGAGAGCCTTATTTAAAATGATGCACTGCGGCACGCTTAAAACTACCTTATATCCAGTATATTACAGTGGAAAACTAAAAAAGTCATAGAATTTTGTGCCTCTTAAAATGTTTGCATGATTCAAATAGCTAAGATTGTTAAAAATATTTTCCTTTGAACCACTTTTCTGCGCCTTTTAAACGTTATTTTCTCTCTTATTTTCAATGCAAATGATCTTATTCTTTTCAACGCAACATATTTTAGGACGCACACGTACGCTATGCATTAAGATATGACATTCTATTCTCAATGGATTTACATATTTTTTTACAAAGGTTCCTCAAATACAATTTTCAAAATGAAAAAAATCATCACAATTTGATACCATTTTGCACGATCACAATATAAGTCAAAATGTTTTTTTAATTTAAAGCGCCTTTATTGGCATTATTGATTAAAGGGTGTACATGTATACAAAGTATCATCATCTTGCTTCATCAAGCTTCGGATGATTGAGCGTGGGAACCGACGATGGTATCATCATACCAGTCACATTTTGAAGATACGACATTGGCTAACACGGACTTAGATTTACATGACATTGTATGATTGGAAATATAACTTCCTTGGTTGTTTCTTCGAAAACCAGGATGTCATATTTCTATTTATCAAGCGTCAATACACATTATTGACGTATAAATAGAGAAAAATCACAAAACCTTAAGTAGAAAGTCCGTAAACAAATACACGTTAAAAGCACATTGACATTAGGTCAGATTATGTTGTGAAAAAACGTGATGCAAATAAATCTTAAGAGGAGGAAAGAAGTTTGAATATTTGATTAATAGAAAATTGAACAAGTGGTGTATTACATGTCTGGAACACCTTCATGTTGTTAGTGTGGCTCTTGGACTAACTTCAATATTATATCATTTGAGAATGAAGGTAGAACTTGTCTTTTTGATTTTGTTGTTGTTTGTCTTGACCGTGGAGGGGGACATAAAATGCATAAACGCTGGAGGAAATTGCCAGACAACGACTTGTGGCGGAGTTTGGAAAAGTGGTCTTTGTTACGGTGCCGCAAACAGGAGGTGCTGTATCGGTAAGAACAATTATCACAACTGATGTTTGAACACTAGATTGTCTTTAGAAAAAGGAGAAAAACAGTCCCCATCAGACCCGAACAGAATCTGAATGTCTATATTCTATGTATGTCATAAACCACGACATCTCATTTTCCTCAGCCATCATGTTTCTTGTGAAACAAAAAAATGGGATAAGTATCGGCATGATCAGATGTGCATACTCGTATTATATTCATACTTGATTCTATCGGAATGGCCACTTTTTGACTTGCAATATTACAACAAGGTGCTCTGCAAAGTTATCGATTTTTCATAGTACTTATTTAGGGTTAGTGTGCCATAAATGTGCGATATTTTTTGATTGGAAGAGTGTAGGAAAGGACGAGACGAATTGGAAATGACGTATAGCAAAGACCGTAGAGGAAGGGGCGTATCATTTTCCTTCGAGTTATGACCCTTTCCTCTACGCTCTTTGCTATACGTAATTTCCATTTCGCCTCGCCCTTTCCTTACGACTTTTCCTGTTTTGGTATAATTTCGAACAAAATAGACCCAATCTGAATCTACACTGTTGGGGATGTCAAGTTGTAATATTGTGTGTTGGTTCAAGGCGATGTGAGAGACAGTAAATGTAAAAACATTGGGGGAAACTGCCAGACGACTGCATGTGATGGGTCATGGCGAAGCGGACTTTGCTATGGGCCCACGAACAGACGCTGTTGTATCGATAACAAAGATGAAGGTACACACCAAGTTTATAATACGTAGATGAACTGATATATTTTTATAAATCTATGCGTACGACTACCACACCACCTATGGACAAATAGAACCGCTCTATACACTCCCCTCCATATATAAGCAACCCTTACTCCCTCATAGGACTACTGTACGTGTTAAAGACTTTTTATTTACACAATCAGCAATGGAAATACTTATGATTAACATGAAAGTGTAACTTGGCTTCATATCCGTTGCCTCTAAGTTTTCCAATTTTTTCTCAAATACAGGAGGTTGGAAAGAAAAAGTTGATGAATATTTGAAAATTGTCATTCCCATGTAAACGAATGGCAAATGGTTGCTTCGGGGCAAATCATGAAATCCAATTGGGGAGTTAGGATTGCCAAACGTATGGAGGGGAGTGTACGTCCATAAGTGTGATATTCTTACAAATCCCCATCTATACGTAAGACTATCAGGCTTATGGACGTATGTGCAATGAATAATGACGGAATCAAACGCTTAATAAGTTTTACGGAAATAATAAAAATATGCAAGTGAGTTCCGAAATATCTGCTAATATGAATAATGTTTTTCTATATGATCACCATGAAAGGAAGTAGTGCGCTCTCCATTATGATCTCCCCATGAAAAAATTGTTCATCTGATTTTTCAAAATGAGTATACTGCTTTTATCATTACATTTATATGGACACTGGTATCTTGTTGACCTATATTGAGCGATGTATCGATGTATGGGCCACTTATTAGGGTCATAATTCAATCATGAAGTGTAGAGGCATAGATTCCGAAACAGGAAGTACATTATTTTCGTGTCTGTCAAAATCCATTTGCATCCTACACATCCTACATTTTATCAAAATATATGTTATTAATCAATGAAACATAACACTGTATAATCTTTAGATTTACAAAGTTGTATGGCATTTCATTAGTGTAAATGTTGCTTTTGAAGCATTTTTCTATAGCCATATTATAGGAAAGATTAATGATGAAATATGTATAATCTTTTAAAGTCTCCGATAAATCGGACTACGTATACCGCCGTGTTTACATTAGGGGATTAGAAGAGTTTATTTTTATTTAGGTATGCAAGTAATATCAATATTAGGCCTTCATGCATGTACTCGTATGTACAATCAGCATGCCCTTCAATATTATATAAACCAGGCTATTCAAATACTACATAATGTACACTATTTATGAGTGGTACTACATGGGAATACGATTCCCTGGGAAACAAAACACAAATACTTTTTATATGTTCAAAATGAGCCATTTGATTGATGCATACACTTAATAGCTCATTAATAACAACGACAAAGTATAACTAATAGTAATATTCAATTTCAATGGTGAAACTTGCCTGTTTACGATTATACGGGAAATCAACATGGGACGAAGATTGTTCACCTTAATTACCTCTGAAGCCTGTACCTTGTAATCTCTTTATATAGGTTAGCGAGAGCGCTGCGCCTGCGCAGTTTTAAACTTTGGCGCACTCTTTAATGTGAAGTATGATCTGAATCGATTGCAAACTTCATATATGCACATCCGATATGATATACCATTTGTGTCGTACTGTGAAATTATTTAATTTGCAATCGATTCAGGTCAGAGTGTAATTTTTGGTATTTTTGAGAAACCAATGGCCTTCACTGGAATCTGATGATATCCACATGTTAAGTCAATGGATCACATCCAATGTCAAGTTCATACACCCTTGCTGAACTTAATGACCTCAACCTCAGCCACCGTGGATCCAAATGCTTGAATATTTTCCAAAGTATTATGTGACATCGTGTTCTTTATGTTACACCTAAAAATGATTCATTTTGTTCTTGGGGAAATCATAATGGAGTGTGCACTAGGCCCTTTACTGCTACATATAAATGTGTGCTATGTGTGTTCTTTGTTTTAATATCGCAATCAGTGTACTAGTTTACAATAACTACAGTCAGATCTTCATATCACAATATTATAATTATGGGATTTCTATTTTACAATTTTCTTGAATAACATAAAATGTACCATCCGAATGTAGGGTTTCAAATGATGTACTACATATACTTTACCGAGCCACACTTTTAGAGTTGTCTGTATTTATTATTTTTAATAATATATAAGTGATACAGAATCCTCGCTTGCCACATGTATTGCTATGCCCATATTAAATTCAATATTTTCTTTGTTCCATACTTCTGTAGATAAACTAAGCCACTCTGAGGCAGCGGCCCTACTCTCTTTGGCTGGCATCGGTTTACAATCCAGTGGTGGATGCTCAAACAGGTATAAAAATTCAGTGAAGACTATTTCAAAATTCAGCCAAACGGAACATACTAAAACAAATACTATCCATTCTTGAAATTACAACAAATATAATATCTAGGCCTATGGGAGTTAATATTTTTAGATCATTCGGAGGGAGAATATACACATCCTTAAACTTAGACCAAGAAGGATTGGCTCCCAGAGTGCAACACCGATATTCTGTCCCATATATGGGAAAGTCATGATACAAAATTCGAATTCAAACAGCCACCATTTTGTTCACTTCAACATTTGAATCGTGAATTTTGGTCCTAACGAAAAATTCCAAAAACCCACAAGAAATGATCGAGATATTGGTTCGAATCTTTTGAATTGTTTATATTGAATTTATAGTCAGTGTTAATTTCAAAAAAATAAAAGACATTTCGACGTTTTCATTGTTGAAAAATATTGAGTTTCGATCCTGGGAGCCAATCCTCCTTGAACTAAGACCAACGGCAAAAAACGTAAGCCACTTGTAATATATTCTACAAACAAAGCATTGAGTTCAGCATGTTCATGAATATGGTCGTATACACATATATAATTAGACTCAATACATTTTTAGGAATGTTCGAACATGCACTAGTCTAGAGCAGATCCGACGAGCCACTATCCTTGGAACAATCACAGAACTCAAGATACCGAGCAAGTAATGTATTATAACAATATTTTCTTCCACTATATATTACAGGTCATTCAAAATAATAAAAGGTAAAGGTATGCCTACTTTACATTATAAAGGATTTAGAACCCATTTAATTTTGTTTATCATTATAGCAACTATCCACAATTAGTACCGGTGTAAAAGGGTCCTATTAATTTATGGTCCTACTCTCCATTGATTTATATGGTGACCTCTTTGTGCTCTTTCCCTTATTATCTTATAAACAATCAGGGCCAGTAAGGGCCTTTAAAAGGGGGACCATAATCCCTGGGGGACCACAATTTCTTTCACACCGGTATAATACCATAATATTTGTACATATTTGTTACCTTTGGAATCACAATAGCATACATACTATAAAACGTATTTACATTCAAAATTGAGAAATTAAAAGATGATAATTTTCAGATGCCCAATGACGGTATCCGGTGGCACAGAGACAGGTCACTCAAGGAAGGGAGTGTACAGTCACTGGAACGGCTATAAGATCGACCTAAGACTCAACGATTGCCTTGCAAAGTATATCAAGAAGAACTTCCCGTTCCACCGTTTGAGAGGACGTTATCCAGTGTACAAGGCCCCGTCTGGGAACGAGTATTGTCTGGAAGGGAACCATTGGGACAACACATACTACTAAATATTAATCCATCTTAAAGTGGACGATAAAATAAATTATCAAAAATATTCTCTGATCTGTCGATCAATACAAGAAGTTCTAATTTCAAACGCCATGTCAACAAAATATATATCGCACGCTCTATTTAGTTTTGGCCTGGCATTATCAGGGCAAAAAACACCGCAATCTACCGTTCATATGTAAGACAAAACACATAAGAGTACACGCTCAAAGATCCATCAGCTTCTTTTGCATTTTCCCGCTTCGTTACTTACTTTCTGATCGAGCCTCTCGTACATATATATACATGTTTAGATTTTCAAACGTATTTTATTAGTTCTTCTTATTTTTACTTATACACACTTATATACTGTACAATATTCGATTGTTTGCGTACTTGTTTCCGTGATTTTTGTTCATTTTGTTCTACTTAAATACGCATAGTGCCTCTTTAAAATTCACCTTGAGACTACCATTTTCAGTAGTTCTGATTTCGCCTCCTTAAAAGAGAACTTCACCAACTAGCTTCTGGGAATCGGGTATCTTTAAGGCACGCATTCATTAAATTTACGACTGATGAGGACAACTTCAGAAATAAGTGGTTTGAATATTTTAATTTCGTCTTTGAGTGCTTTATAAGTTTCAGTGTCTTAATAAGAAAATCTAAGACTGGCATTTTACTTCTGCACAATTATCTTAAAATGACGTCGAAAATTTGAAATTGGTATTCGATAGATTCGGTTATAGACGTGTATCCAGTATTTTACAGATGTTTTTATTGTCATATTGTATATAGATCAATCAATAGATTAATCTACATTTTGGACTGCAATGATCATACAAAAGATATAATGGCTTGTTGTACTTACTGACTTTGGATGTTGTGGTATTATGTTAATAATATGTTTTACTGTATTCGATATTTTTATCCCACAATTAATTGGATTCCTACTTTTCATCTTAATATACATGAAACCTATTAATATTCGTTTGTGTTTCGTTGTTCGAGTCACGTATTTGTTGAACCAACATAGGCGCAACTCGTTCTACAGTATTTAAGGTGTATTTTACACCCCCAAAAAGATTTTGAAACTCGCTTCAGAATTTAGCCGTTGATGACAAAATTTTATAATTTTGACGAATTTTGAAAATCGCAAAACGTAAGTGTTTCAGGAGTGGACTTGGAATTGGCAGACTTATAAAGCGGAGTGTAGTTTCTAGATTTTGTTGATATTGACAAAACCTTCTTGGTTTATGAAAATCGTCCTACACCCCCCGGATTTCGGAATCTTGACATTTTCCGAGCATGCACTGATCGAGATAATAGGGCAGATCCTGGAGTTTCTTGAAATATATATTCCGCATTAATTTTGTCGAAAAAAACACACATATGACGATATGAAACCAAGCTATTCATATTTGAGCCTGGCCATGGGAAAATCACAAAAATGTGCCCAAGATTAAGAGGAAAATGTGCTAAAATAAAACTTTTTTGTCGATATATGCAAGAAAAAATCGTTGAGGCATAAGTCATGGCTCATTTGAAAGGTCTTTTTGTGCTTTTTAAGATAAACAAAAAATCAAAATATTGAAAAATCTGTGATAAGACCCCCTTTCCTGTGGCCTGGGTCATTTATATTATCCCATTACGTATCTGGCATTGTTTCATTCCAATGATGTCACAAAATATTGATGTTTAGCCAATTGTTATTTCTAAATCATTCATTTGATTTAATCACTCCTGCCGGATCATGTAGATTTTTTCCAGGTGGGCAGTGTGCTCATAAATTACATTTCAAATGTTCATGATATTGTGGCTGCATAAAACATCAACACATTTAAGACAATGGAAAAAATAAGGATGCCTTGGCCACAGAAAGTCCCACAATCGTCACACAAAGCTCTATTGTAACGCTCGTGGATTTTGTGGCGAAATCATATTGAAAAACTACGGAATTAATTGAATGTAAATATTGTACTTCCTCCTTTTATGTGTTTTTTATAATTGGTTATTATATATAAACAGCTTGGATGCTTTATCCGCAGTTATACATATATATATATGCTTTATGCTTATAAATTTTATTTCACTGTGCACGTATGCTGATTTTTACAATTATAGGAAAATGAATTTCAAGCAGACATTCATGATAATAGGTGTTTTGACATTAATTCAAAAACCTAATGGAGTTACTTCATTGACTGAACTCGATGCGCAATCATGTATTGAAACGGAAGAAGAAATTATTGCGCTACGAGATATCGGCGCTGTAATTACCTCGTTAAAAGCGGTTGCCGGATTCAAACTAAGAGGGGATAAAGGTGGCACTGAATCAGTCAAATATTTGAATATGGCCGTTTCAGCACAGGGTCTCATCAATGACTTGATTCGCATTTACCCGAAGGAGTGTGCTTTTACAAAACTATTCACCGCAATCTTGAAAAACTTAAATGGCTTAAAAATTGATGATATGGTCAAAAATATAAACACATTACAGGCGGCTGTTTCGAAAGTAACAGAATTTAAAGGTAAGATCTAGTAATGTATTCCATACCTGATGAGGTTTCAGGGACATATCAACCGGGAATATATTCCATATCCGGGCAAATATTTTTCGTATGTCCCGCTCCAACGGAGCTCCGGGACATATAAATCGTATGTCCCGCTCAAAAAAAATGTTGAAAAAAGTTTTTAAAGTGTGCGCCTGATCCGGCTACGTATAGCACAGAGTTTATACTGGCGGATTAGACTAGTTCATTTTTTATATGTGTGTGAAAGCTTTCTCTTATTTGCGTTTTTTCGTTTAGTGCGGTTTTGTTATAATTGCCGAGGTCATATAACCGGGATAAAACAATGATTATCGTTGACTGCCCACACACAAAACATACGCCGAGTGAACAGTGTTATTACAAACAACAGGCTTTAGAATACAAAGCGTAGTGTGATAATAAGCTGTACACTACCACTGCTACATGTACATATTACTAATGTACAAGGGGTCCCAAAGAGTGGATAGGGAGGTTGTGTTTGTCACTTTTAAATTTTACATTTCAAAATTGTCATTTTACATGTCATAATTTGTTGGTTTCATTCGTTTAGCCAATCAAAACATTGTAAAACAATAAATTGTCTGTTACGTACAATCAATTTTGTTCAGTTTTGATTAGTTGTCAGAATAAAGTTACGTTCATCTGAATCCATGTATCAAAACAAAAATCCTATTTTCATTTCAAAATACTTCAGTGAGATGAAGGCTCGGAATTGTCACATGCAATAACTTATTGTCGTATTCGTTATTTTATCTTCTCGATAGTAGCATTTAGTCGCACATTTGATGCCAGGTCACCTTGTCGCGTACCTCTTGGGGAACCCCACATTTATGTGTGTACTCATGGAAGTAAATTCCCCGGTGTAGCCGAGAGCCACAAACTTTTCAACAGGTTCGAAATGACCAATTTCTCTCATATATACTCTAAATATTTTATTATTTAGCACCTACAGAGTATTGCTAATAACCATATGTAATTTCAATAAGGAAACTTATCTGGCTACATATAAATTCAATATCAACACTAGCTGTTCTCTCAACACGTCCTGGCTTACCTTGTGGTGACAAACCCTGGATTTTCGCTATTTATAGTTTATCAACACCTGGACGCATGCGCATTTTAAAAAAAATTGAGAACAAATTTGGAAAAAATTTGAATTTTTTTTAAAATGATCACATATTTTGCAAGTAAACACACCAGAGCATATCGGATACATGCTTATTATTTCAAACCTCATCAGGTATGGAATACAACAGTTATGGACGGTCGGTTTGGATACAGGAAATATCCCTTGGGATATACAATACATCTTCCCTTGGTCCCTTCGGTCCCTCGGGAAGATATATTGTATATCCCTCGGGATATTCCCTGTATCCAAAACCTCCCAGTGCATAACCCCAATATAGATACCACTTTGAAAAATGTATCGGATATGTATAGGATGTTCTATAAGAGAGGTTTCGCAAAACGAATTGGGTAAAACGTATCCACATCCGTATCTCGTTACGTTTACGGATACGTTTTTCGATAATTTTAGTTTCGCAGTTCGTTTTTTGAAGTACGTAATTATAAACGCATCTCAATCCGTGTTTAATAGTAGCGAAAACTAGGGTCAAATAAAAGGCTTCATCTGCACTAAGATTTCAAAACACCATTGGGAGTGTCAGCTTTCAGAATCACAACTCCAAAAGTATTTTTGGTGAGTGCAAAAATACATATTAACCCTTTCATCCCTAAGGTGTCATTTATTAATTTCATGACATCAATTTCAAAATGAAGAATATCCTTTAGGCCAGAAAAGATTATTTCTAGGTTTACAATAACCAATTCAGTGTCAAATTATACTTTTGAGAATATTTAAGGGTTTGAAAACAGATAGGCTGAATAGTGGTCATTAAGTGACGTGCAGTGACTGCATTATGCCACAAAATACGTAAACATTTCTAAAATCACTTGCCATACTGCACATGGACCTTTAATTTCATGTTTTTGCAGCTGTATATTTTGGTAATAATTCAAGATCAAATAAGTTTAAAAAACAGCGACTTGGGCAACGCCAAGGCATTTAGAAACCATACGTTTTCACATAAGCCACCCCCTTTCCTCATACATTGGCTTTAGTTGAAAACCCATGCCTCATATAAACTAAGGAGGGGAGCAAAGTAACATATTTGATCATAGAAAGCGACACAAATATATCATTTATGCAATAAAAGTATGTTTTGTATGAGAAATCAACAAAAAATATATTATGTAAAAAAGATAAATTAGCATTGCTTTTCTTGAATTCATTGAACAACAGGGGACCAGCTCATCAGAGAACAACGCGAAGCTAACGCCTATCATACCAGTTGAATATCTCACCATCATAATACCCTATATCCCCTTTTGGGTCTAAACAGAATCAACTGATAAATTAATTCCCTAAACCGGCCATTTGTTTCTTAACCCAATAAACACCACAACCTGATCGGACACGGCCTGCAACTCGACATATATAACATATTACAACCAAACACAACCTAGATCACCAACCATGCAACAGTACAATACAACATAACCCAGTGTCAAAATACACAGAACGCAATAGAGCATAACCAAGCACCAAAGCCAGCATAGCGCAACCTGACTTACAACCACCAAAACACAACCAACTGTCAGATTAACACAATATGTCACAACCCAATAATAAGACAGCAAAGACAAACACAACCAATTGTTGAATTAACTCAACACAATTGTGCACAATCCAACACTAAACAGTAAAAACACAATCAGGCACAACCAATAAAACACAACTAAACTAACAACCATGAAAACACATCGAACTGTGAAACTATCACCACACAATTTGGCACAACCCAATGGTAAACCAACAAAAGCAAACACAGCCCATTGTTCAAGTAACACAACACAATTTTTCAGAACCCAAACCAAACAATGAAAACAAAATCAGGCACAGGCATAAAAACACATTAAAATTGTAATACCGAGATATACAACTAACTTAACCCAATTGGAGACCACGCCAATCACACAACACAATCAGACACAACAAGATACCTCACCCGACTAGCCACAACCAGCTAACCAACCAACATAACATATTCACAAGAGAAATCAACCCATTATAAGATTAACATAACACAATGGGACACAACCCGATACTAAATCACCAGACTAACAACCATCAAAAGAGAACCGAGTCTCAAACGTTCACAACACAATTCGGCAAAACCTATACCTACTTGACACTAACCCATCATTACACAACCAGGCTTAACCAAATACTCAATCGATTTACTCAACCCATCAAAACACAATCAGGCACAACCAATAAACCACAAAGAAACGTTGATACCGATTTATTCAACTAAGTTATTCCAACTGGAGACAATCGCACAAAACAATCGGGGACAACCCGATATCTACTGAATATGTACTTGAATTACAACCCCCCCCCCTTCCCTATCATCACAAGGCTGCTAATGAAGAACACTTCAATGGACCACTACCCAAGAGTTATGAACATCTGGGGCCCCTACCGTGGCTCATATGTAAGAGAGACGATCCGTTACAGGATCTGGATGTCAGGCCTGTCTTTACAAAAATGAAAATAGGAAATGATACGCCAATATCATCATCCTAGGATCAATGAAATATACTCTACCTGTTACATAATCACTGACGGTGGTTCGGGGAAGCTTGGGCACTAAGCTTTAGGGCACTAGTCTCCCTGGACCCCCAAACGAGGCCGCTTACTATTTGACGTAGATCGCATGACTTGATGCGTGTTCAAGTCATACCACGGGAAAAAGCTACCTGACTAGAATTTTTTTCAAAATCATTCAGTTTTTCATCATATCATACTGAGCACTTTTCAGGAATTTTAAGCCAAAAAGCTCCCCTTTGCCACAAGCTTGATACGGACAAGAGTGATGCGGCGCGCCATCTTTAGATCCAATATCACATTCATTGTCGAGGTCAGGACCAAGCTACTATACTCAAACTAAGCACAAGACCCTGCTCTATATGAATTTGGAGCGTGACTTAAGACTCAAAATATATTCAGGTGGCCTAGCTGCTAACCATTGGGTTGATGTCCCTAAGAAATTGACTACGGTAATATTACTATTGACCCCAGAAACGATAGACCTTACATCTGCCTATTAGCAAATGTGACTAAAGCTTTATAAGTAATGATTGCAGGCCCCTCGCTTATAATCACATTTATCGGCAGATAGGGCTATTACTTCATCAAAATTAGCACGACACACATGATAGCATATGTGGGTTACTAAAATTGTACATTTAGGGAAAGATTTATCAAGATTTGAAGGACAAAATAGATACGGAGACAACTACGCACAGAAAGTGTTAGTTTACGTACTTTCGGTATTGCTGTTGGTATTAAAAACGTATTGAATACAGTTTTACTCCATCGATGCGTTACGGGTTTTGATACGGGTAGCTAAAACGTTGTGCGAAACATGTACACTGTAATTATTGCAATACCATTCCATACTGTGTAAAATGAATTGAACATACCATTTGAAAAACTCGATTTATTTCAAACAATAAACAAATTCATTCACCAAAATTTAGTCAAATTATACACAGCACACTGTGCTTGTTCATATAGTGATAACTTTAGAACTAAAGACAATATAATCGAAGGGTAAAATCGGATACGTAAATGACCAACGTACAAAAGCCTCATTTTTCGTGTTTCCCGTATCATTTCGCGTAAAAAATCGAACTGACTACGCATAAATCTGGTAAATACGTTACGGATACGGATCCGTGGAGCTAAAAAACGTTTTGCGAAACCTCTCTATTATCTCATAGTTCACCTAACCATGGACGTAGTTGGTACGTTCATGACCTAACAAAGCATTTCAAAACAACATTCAGTTTTATTTTGTCATTTGAATATAGCCAAAACATAAATCATTTCCATATTTGTGACGTCAAGAAAT